GGTTTCTCCACGCCTTCTCTCTGGCCAGCATCACGTGGCTGCCTAGCTCATGGCTCAGTAGGTACCCCACAGGCAGACCTGCAGACTCCAGCTCTGTGTCCAGCTCACCTATGGAACTGGGGGCCTCTCATTCTCCACCTACCCCTAGCCGAAGTTAATTCTGTACAGTCACTTCCTCTCCATGAGCCCTTGGCCATGACCTCTGACCTCACAACTCCTAGGTCTGCGAGTCTTTGATGAGTCACCAAGAGTGCTAGAAGTGGCCCAGGCCGGCAATGGGCACCTAGCAAGGCAGTTTGCCCAGCGTGCCCACTCCCTCTGCCTTTCCCAGCTCAACTCTTCCCATCAGGCTCCATCTGGGCTCAGCCCTTCCCAGCATGGGGCTCCCCTCTCTGTTTTTCTGGTGCAGAGGAATTGCAGTCCTTCCAGACTGATTTCTCAGTGTTGCAGTGAGAGTCATTCTAGTTGGTCCTGGGTAGGAGGAAGAGCAGTGTGCTTGACTGGTGAAGGACACTCTTAGTCATGGAGGAAAGGAGACCTTTCCAATGACATTTCTGTAGGATGACTGGCCACCTTCCTCCCTGGTGATTCCCAGCCAGGCTGGTGGGATATTTTTCCAGAACAACAGGAGTCAATGGGGAAAACGTGCTCTAAGAATTCTGACGTACAGCCAACTTTTCCGAAGAAGGAATAGGTTATGAGCAAAACCTAGGAGAATGCTCTAAGCCATGGAAGGAAAACTCTGGAGGAAGCTGACATGGAGACCTGCCATCGAGAAAGAGATGGACCACTAAGGAATGGAGGAACAGGTATAAGTGCAGTTTTTTTAAAAGTGCTGAAAGTCTCAGTGGACCACGAGAATGAACAATGCTCTATATTCCAGGAAGACATTAACCAGAGTGAAGATACATGGAGTCACACTATTAACACCTGGACCCTGGATGTCCAGCATTCAAAGAGTCAGACAGTGGTGTGGGTCAAGGAGGGGCTCTGTGTTTAGAAAGTATGGGGTTGAGGAAGGGACTGGGGAGGAGGGACCCCTAAGACTACAGAAAGGAAGGCTGGCAAGGAGGGGGATGCTCAACTTCCATTTTGAGGAAATGTCAAGAGGACAGGCAATGCTGTTATAAGATGGAGAAAATTTTATTTCGCAGAATTTGGGGTGGGGGGTGCGGGTGGGGAGTGCCTGGACTACACAGCCCAGGGTCCGAGAGCCTGAAGATGGCGAAAGGATTCGGTGTGCACTGATGAAGCTGGGTTTCTCGTGGAAGAAAGAAGAAACAGAACTCTGGGGCTGGGACTGGGGTAAGCAGAACCAAGAGGGCCTTGAGGAGCCTGGGCAGAGGTAGAGGAAATGCGAGGCCTGGGGCCATAGGAGCCATGGTGAGGCTCTGAGGGGGACCCGGGCTTTTGGGATGGGGAGACCTTTCCAAACATCACTGGAAATGTCTCCTTTCCTCCATGACTAAGAGCATTCTTCACCCCAGTCTCCAAGAGGCAGGGAGCCCCGAGTGACAGCCGAGCTCCTAGGACAGTTCAGGAGTGGTTAGATGGAAGGATGTCCCCTCGGGAAGGTGATGAAATGCCAGCTGGTGAGCAGTGTCCTGGAGACCAGCCAGGCCAGGTTCCTCAAAACCATTAGGGGGCTTCCCTGGTGGCGCAGTGGTTGAGAGTCCGCCTGCCGATGCAGGGGACACGGGTTCGTGCCCTGGTCCGGGAAGATCCCACATGCCACGGAGTGGCTGGGCCCGTGAGCCATGGCCGCTGAGCCTGTGCGTCCAGAGCCTGTGCTCTGCAACGGGAGAGGCCACAACAGTGAGAGGCCCGCGTATAGAAAAAAACAAAAACAAAAAACAAAAACAAAAAACCATGAGGGCCCTGGAAAAACTCGCCTGCAGACAGCACAGCCTGGCTGTTGCTCAGTCGGCGCTCAGCCTGAGCAGTCATGACAGACTTAGCGGGGCTGACAGGCCTCTGCACAGATGCATAAACTGAGGCCAGGTTGGAAGAAGCAGCTGCTATGTCCCTGGCTCCTTCGGAGTGCTCTGCTTGCTCTGGGAGCTTACTTGAGTCACTCGGCAGGGATGGAGCATCTGTTCTGTCCCAAGCCCTGCCCTCCGAGCGCAGGAGATACCCAAAGATGTGGTGCCCTGGCTGGCCCAAACCGCGGGGTGCGGGTGGGTAAGTGTGGCTGGACTGGAATCAGGCCTCTCAGCCCAGCGGGGCCCAGTGTTGCCACAGCTTCTGAGGTTCATGAAACAGTGGATATTCAGATTTCTTTTTCCATTTTTTAATTGTAGTGAAATATACATAAGATTTATCATTTTGGCCATTTTTAAGTGTACAGTCCAATGGCATTACATACATTCACAGTGTTGTGCAACCATCACCACCATCCGTCTCCAGAACTTTGATCTTCTTGAGCAAACTCCTTTCCCATTAAACACTAACTCCGATCCCCCTCCCCCAGTCTCTGGCACCCATCCTCTACTTTCTGTTGCTATGAATTTAACTGCTCTAGGGACCTCATATAGGTGGAATCATACAGTATTTGTCCTTTTGTGTCTGGCTTATTTCACTCAGCATAAGGTCCATCCATGTTGTAGCGTGTGTCAGTGCTTCATTCCTTTTCATGCTGAACAGTACATAATGGTCCACCTTTTGTTTATCCATTCATCCATCGATGGACACTGGGTTGTTTCACCTTTTTGTCTGCTGAGAATAATGCTGCTGTGAACATGGGTGTGCAAACACCTGTTTTAGCAGGGACTCAGAAAAACATTTGTACACTCGTGTTCACAACAGCATTAGTCAAAATTCAGATTTTTTTTTTTTTTGGCCGCACTGCCTGGCTTGTGGGATCTTGGTTCCCCAACCAGGGGTCAAACCCGTGCCCCCTGCATTGGAAGCATGGAGTCTTAACCACTGGACCGACAGGGAAGCCCCCAGATTTTTTTTTTAATGTGGATTTGCCCAATTTAAAAAACACAGCAGTGTGGGTCTGACCAAACCCACTGGAGGGCTGGATTCCACACCTGGAATGCAGTGCTGATCTCAGAGCCAAGTGGCTTGCCTGGAGTTCAGCATGACCCCCACCCCACCCTGGCTCCCCTCTCCAGCTCAGAGATCCAGCCTCTCCTTACAGAAAACAGCTCGCAACCTCCAAGCCAGGGCCAGAACTGCATGAAAATGAGCCTCAGAGGAGAGAGCAGTTCCCGCGGCCAACGCCCTCTGCTGGGTTTCTGTGCAGGGCTTCTGCCCTAAAGCCAAGGCTCCCTTATATGGTTGGGCCCACGAGGACCCTGGTGGTCTGGTGACCTCTGCCCCGAGTACCCTGTCCCTGTGCCCTGAGCTGGTTGGCCCCTCACCCTGGATGGCTCTCCCCACCTCTTCTCCTTAGTGTCCCCAACTCATCCGCTGGAGCCAGGCTCAGTGTCACCTACACAAGGAGGCTGGGTGGCCAGGCAAGGCCCCCTTAGCCCCTGTGCCTCTACTTTGCCACTGGAATCCTCCATTCCACCCACCGAGCCTTTGAGTTTGCTCTTCCTGCGGCTGGAATGGTCTCTGACCACACCTGCCTCTGCCCCTCTCCTGCAAGTCTCAGCTGAAGGTTTGCACTTCTTCCCTGGGCTCCTGATGTAAGATTACAAACCCCAAAATGCCACACCCCACCTCCTGTTCCCCCTCCCATCCCCACCCCCACCCGAGTCCCTTCCGGCTTTGGTTTTCCCCATAGACTTTATCATCTATTAAACTAAATGATTTACTTATTTATGTTGTTTATTCTGTTTCCCCTGGTGTCCCTGCCGTGAGGGCAGGATTGTCTTTGGTTTGTTCACAGCCGTATCGCAGTAGGTGCTCAGTAGATTTGGTTGGATAATGAACGGATACCCCTGATCAGATATCTGCCAGACTCCGGTGCCCACGTCTGAGATGCTGAGAGAAGGGGGGCAGTGAGTCACTTCTCTGGATTGAGCACTGCTGGCTCCCGCTGCTATGCCCTCTGAGGCCTCTGCAGCCCTATCTGTCACCCTCAGCTCCCTGCAAAATCATCAGTGGTCCTGAGACGGCCTGGCAGGGACACGGATAGTGGGTGGCAGGGTGGGCAGCCCATCCATCTGCTGCCCCGGTGAAGAGATGCCCAGCCACGATGCCTGGCATAGGTCTGGCATACCGTGGGCACAATGAATATTCTGTTTGAATGAATATTGAATCATACCAAGGTCTCCACTCCTTGGGAACTGGGGAGCCGGTCTGTGGGGCCCTTTTCCAGGACTTGTGCCAGGAAGTCTTCACTGGCTTTTCTGGACTTCCCCTGGTTCTTCCCGGGCCCTTCCCCTTGGGGCTATCTTCCTGGCCACCCCATCACGAAGACGGAAACATCTTGGGGCACATGCCTGCCCCTTGGATCATCTGGGAAGTGATCCAGGTGGCATGAATGGCACACAGAGCTGGAACACAGAGGAACTGGAGAGGCAAGAGGCTGAAGCAGTCGGTCCCCAGTGGAATTCTCCAGACTCACTTCTTCCTCATTTGTTTATTCATTCAACAAATATCCATCGAGACCCAGTGTGCACCAGGTACCAACCTAGATCCCGAGGATCCATGGGGAACCTCCTCACCGTCCCTCTCCTCTGAGAGTCGCAGCACACAGCACCCACCCTCAGGATGGCCCTCCAGGGTCCACGCCTACAGCCCCCTCCTTCCCTGACACTCCTACCCCAGTCCCAGGCCTCTGTGCCCATCCCCCCATGACCCCTTGCGGTCATTACTTGCTCACTGCCTCCCACCCCTGGGGAGATGTGTGCTGTCTAAGGATAGGACATGTGTCTTATTCATTATCGTGTCCCAGTGCCCAGCACAGGACCTGGCATACAGCCGGTGCCCAATAAGTGCTTGTAGGGTGAGCTGGGGAGGCCAACCGCCTTAGATTCAGGAAGGGAGTGGGTTGGAAGAGCATGAGGGGCAAGGCCAGCCACAGGGCACAGAGGTGGACCCAGGACAGACAGTAGGTGGGGGAGGGCAGTGGCGGGGAGCCCCTTCCCCCACCCTGCTGGCATTTCTGCTCGACTGCTGCTGGGGCCCCACTGGAGGTGCCCCTCACCTTAGCCACTCTGTTTCCCAGCAGTCTCCCCACCCCCAGTCCTGGGACAGAGGTGAATGCGTCAGCTAGGAGCTGTTCACGCTCCTGCGCCCCACCCTTGCCTTGTCTTTGGGTGGAGTGGGGCAGGGGCCTCCACGCAGCAGGAGGGCACCTCTGGCCTGCGGTTTAATCCTGAGTTGCCTCCTGCCCCTCCAACCCAAGCAGGGGCCAGTAAAACACATCAATGATCCTTTTTGGTATCAATGATCTCCAGGTGAGTCTCACAGACTCTTGGAACCCCTAACAGCCTGAGGAGGTGGACAGCAGGAGGGGAGTCCACCCCTGGGCAGGCTCTGGGGGCAGAACGTGTGTTGGCTAAGCTGTGGGGCTTAGGAGAAGCTGTGGTAGGCGGTCTGCCCACAAAGGACACGGGCTGTGGTGGCAGCCCCTCCCAATGCCCCGAGCCACCCACCGGGCCCTCACTCCCTCTCCGTGACCTCGGGCTTCCCCCGCAACTGGTCCCCATCCCCAGCCTCTGTAGGGTTAACTCCATCATTTCCTTCAGCCTCCCTTTCAAGGTCCTCCTTTCTGGGCAGCCCTCACTGGCGGCCCCCGCCCCCCGCCGGCATCAGGTGCCTCCCCTGGGCTCCCACCCACCCAGCACTTTTGACCCCAGGGGGCGGGTCACCATCCGTCTGCTGCTGGGCTCCCTCAGGGCTCCAAGAGTCCAGTTGGCCCTTCTCTAGAATTGGGGTTCACATCTGGGCTCCTCCCCTCACCAGCTGCGGGACCTTGTGTACGTCACTCACCTCCCTAAGTGGCCTCAGTTTGCTCATCTGCAGAATGGGAATAATAATAAGGGACTTTGCAGACTGAATGAGGTGGTGCCTGGCTCACTACGCACACCGTAACTGCTGTTATGTCCATGCCCCTCCCCAGGCATATCGAGGGCCATCGCAAGTTTTGTTGATCAAATGACTGAAGGACAAAGATACACAGTCTCTCTCAGAAGAAGCCTGACTCCTCCTGCTCAGGGCACGGGTGTCTGGAGTGTGGGGTACTGAGTCACGGAAGACCTGACTGCAGGGTGAGGGTTACAGGATCACGCGGGCAGATTCCTTGGGGGAGCATTTTGCTTCCCACACCCCCACCTGGGCTCCCCGCTCAAGCATCACCCAGCAGCCGTTTGACCCCAAGGAGGGGTCCAGGGGGGTGGTCCTGGGAGCACAGGGGCTGGGGTGGGGTGTGGGGACTCAGCATCCCAGCCCTCCCCAGGCAGCCGCATCAGTCACAGCCACCTGGGCAACTGGCTGCCCCACCTGGGGTTCCTGGAAGTCCAGGTGAGAGATGAATCCTTAGGCTGCTGAGTGACAGGGCCCACAGGAAGGTGTCCCCGGGACAGGTGGCCACCGGGGGTCTGATTCACGCCTTCTGGCAAGTGGGTTAACGGGATCCCCGAGCCCAGGGCTGGGTCAGGTCTTCCGCTGAGTCACAGGAGCCGTTACGGAGCCTCTGGGCAGTCCCTTGCCCGCTGTCACCCACCCAAGACCCCAGGGCCTCCCCAACGGCTCCCGCCACCCCGGACCCAGGCCCCAGAGTCTGCGTGCCTTCCTTCCCCACCCGGACCACCCCCCCTTCAAGCTTAAGGGCCTTTCTCTGCCCTGCCCCTCCAGTCAAGGTCAAGGCCCAGCCTAGACCTGAGGGCCCAAGTTCCCTCTCCTGCCCCTCCAGAGCCCAGATCCTGAGACCTGAGTCCGCGGATCCAGGCCCGAGGTAGGGGTCCCAGCTAGAGCCCTCCAACCCCACCGCCAGCCCCACCCCTGACTTTAACGGCTTATTTCCTCCCCAAAGCCCCACCCCCTCCCTGTGACTGACAGCCCGGGGTGGCGGGACTGAGCCACTCACTCGGGAGACTGGTCCAACAGCATTCTGCCTCACAGGATAAAACCCGGGGTGGCCTGCAGGGAATCCAAGCTCTCCTGTCGGCAGTGGCCATGGTGGTTCCCGAGACTCTCCCTGCCCTGGGGAGGCACTACCTCAGCATTGTAACCTCCCTGCTGCTTCTGGCTGCTCCAGGTGAGTCCTGAGGGCCTGCTGCCCCCTCCACCCCTTCCCCATTGTCCACCCAGCCGTCCTCCCTCTTGGTCCTGCCTGAATCCCTCCTCTCCCTCTCACCTGTTGCTTTGTTCCCCCACCTCCCTCTCCCCCTCTCCCTCTCTGTCATTTGTCTGCTCTGAGCCTCAGGTTCCTCCACAGCTGTGAGGAGTACATAGAACACTGCACTACAGGGCCCAGGACAGGGCTTAGTGCAGTCAGTGCTCAGTGTGCTCAGCTCTGCTTGTTATTTACCCTCTTCATGTCCCGTTCCTGTCTCTTGGGTCTGCATGGTCCACTGCCGGGGCAGCGGCATCCAGACCTAAGGCCTGGGAGGGGGGTTCTCCCTCTCACCTCAGTGAGACACCCCAGGGGCTGACCCCTCACCCCCAGGTAGGCTGGATGGAGCCCGGGCACAGGCTGGACAGGAAGTTGCAGGGAGGCCAAGGCTGCAGCTCACACCGAGGGCCTGAGGTTTCGGTCTGTCCTGCCCAGGCTCCAGGAAATGCCCCGCCTGGGAAGGTCTGGAGGGCCCCAGGGACTGAGCCACCGGGAAGGATTGCTGGGTACCAGGGCTCCCCTCCACCGACCTGACCCTTTCTTTCTCTTGCCCTCAGCCACCCTAGCTGCTGCCAAGACAGCTGGTAAGTCAGAGCTGCCCTCAGGGAAGCGGGGAGGGAGGAAGCCTGAAGGGCAGGGTAGTGTCTGTGTGTCTGTCTGTGGGGGACAGGTCAGAAGCGGGCAGTGGGGCAAGAGGGTGTTTGAGCTGGAGAGGAAGGGCAGGCAGGAAAAGAGGCCCAGAAAGTGAGGATGCGGCCCAGCGAGTCGGGATGCGGAGGAGAGAGGCCCAGGAGGGGGTGAGCGGCCCGAGAATGTAAAAGGGCTAGAGGACCAAGTGCTGAGCCAGAGTGGAGGGCAGAGGGTGGAAGGGCCGGGGAAGAGGCAGCAAAGAACGGAGCCAGGGTGGGAGGAGACTGGAGCACAGGCCTAAGTGCTGAAGGCAGGGAAGGGGGGCTGGAAGGGATGAGGATTGTGCCTGAGGGTCTGACACACCGGCCCCTCCTCCGCCAGGTCCCCCAGCCTGTGGAAAGCCCCAACGCCTGAACCGAATCGTGGGTGGTGAGGACAGCACCGATGCTGAGTGGCCCTGGCTTGTGAGCATCCAGAAGAATGGCACCCACCACTGTGCAGGCTCCCTGCTCACCAACCGCTGGGTGGTCACGGCCGCCCACTGCTTCAAGGGGTACGTACGCTCAGCCGGTCCCTTCCACTCGATTCCCCAGACCCCGGGCTGCCCACACGGCCCCGGCTTCCAGGCCTCAGTCCAGTCTTGGGTCCCTCAGGAGAGTCCCTGCTTCTCCCCAGAAGCCTCTTTTGCTCACCAGGAGCCTTCATATGCCATTACACCAGAAACCCTTCCCAGACGCTTCCTGAACACCCAGTGGTTCCTGGCTGATGCCACCCCCTCCCTCTCCCTTCTAGCCATCCGAACAAACCAGCCCTGTTCTCTGTGCTGCTGGGGGCCTGGCAGCTGGGGAACCCCGGCCCGAGGTCCCAGGAGGTGGGTATTGCCTGGGTGAAGCTCCACCCTGCATACTCCTGGAAGAAAGGCGCCCGTGCTGACATCGCCTTGGTGCACCTGGAGCACGCCATCCAGTTCTCTGAACGCATCCTGCCCATCTGCCTGCCTGATTCCTCCGTCCATCTCCTTCCGGACACCAACTGCTGGGTTGCTGGCTGGGGGAGCATCCACGATGGAGGTGTGGCTTCTTTCTCACCAGGGGTATGGGGGTGGGTGGGGACAGAGGGCGGTGGACACTGGGAGATACAGGTGCCACGGGCAGCAAAGGATAGAGGCCAGAGGCAGAGCACAACACAGAAGAAAAGACAGGTTGTGACCCAGAGATGTGATGACACAGAAGCCTAGGTGGATAGTTCTAGATCATTTCTAGTTAAAAGGTACCTTTTGCTGTGTTCTGAGGCAAAGATGCCAGATCAACCAAGATATTAAGTGATATAGGAACAGCTGAGAGGAGGTGTCTATGGGACCAAGCTGAACCAGGTGAATATGAAAACAGCCCTAAGATTCCAAATCTGGAATAAACGCCCCCTGGTGGCATCATGACACAATTGCAGGCAAAATTCCCAGGAGAAAATGCAGTCTCCATAAATGGTAAAATATAATTGGCAAACCAAGTCTGGAGGTTTGGAAAACCTCATCTAGAAACACAAATTAGATTAGATGAAGTAAGAGGCAGAGAAGCAGTGACATATATATATGGAACTTTAACCAGATTCCAGAAGAATAAGAGAAATGACACCAGTTTGGGCGTCTGGGGACCCCACTGACTCTGAAGTTTCAGTCAGTCTCCCCACGGTCATTCTTAGGGGCTCCTGTGAAAGGTGGATTTATGAACTGGGGAAGGTCTACAGACCAACCCTAGGATCAATCCCCCTAGGGGATGGCAGGGGTCCCTCAAGTCCCAATAAGATTCAACACTGAGTGGCCATTAGCCTGTAGCAGTACCAGTGCTGGATAAAGTAGTGCCTGAGATGGGACAAGCCTGGACCATTGGTTTGAACCATCTCATTGGCATCAGAGATCTCGTTAAAGATTCAGAGTTTCAGGCTGCACGTTAATTTGGGATTCGGTAGATCCAGAGTGGAGTCCTGGAATTTGGGCTTTCTGCAGGCATTGTGGGAGAGCCTGACAGAGTTGATCCACTTAACCTTTGAGAAACGCTGCTGAGGGAATTGAGGAGGGATTTGAGGAGGCCACCAGGAGAGTCTCCCAAGCCTGACTCTCTCCTCCCTGCTCCCAGTGCCCCTGCCCGACCCTCGGACCCTCCAGAAGCTAAAGGTTCCCATCATCGACTCAGCAGTCTGCAGCCGCCTGTACTGGCGGGGAGCCGGGCAGGACGCCATTACGGAGGACATGCTATGCGCCGGCTACCTGGAGGGGGAGCGGGACGCCTGTCTGGTGAGCACACCACCTCCTTCCCAGCCCTGCCCCACTGAGCTCCATCACCCCTCTGCTCCTGCGCCTCCTCCCAGAATCAGCTGTGACCTGGTAGTCCCCCTAGATAGATGCCTACAGAACCCGGCCCCAGCCTGGCTCAGCCGTTCATACATCAAACATTCTCCGGTGTGCCTGACCCCATTCTCAGGGAGCTGGCATCCTCCTGAAGGGGTGCCACGGTCCTGGCCCCCAGAGCCAGCTCCAGCTCCACCACTGTGGCGGAGCACGGTGGGACGGTGCAATGGTCCACACCCGGGCTGGGTCAGTTTTCTTCTTTCTGAGCCTCGGTTTCCTCAACTGTGAAGCAAGTCACAATCCTCCCTGCCTCCAGGGCTGTGAGGGAGAAGGTCTAGCACAAAGTGCTTCTTACCGGAAGTGAGCCTGGGAAGTGTGTCCTTCCCCGCCCTCCCGGTCCTGGTGGCGTTGGTTAGGGTGCCGCGGCCCCCAGGTCGGAGAAATGGTCCCCCGCGAAGGGAACTGCCACCTACTGCGGCGCGGGTCCTGGGCTCTGCTCACCGCTTGCCCCACGCGGGTCCCTAACCTTCCCTCCTCTCCGCAGGGCGACTCCGGAGGCCCCCTGATGTGCCAGGTCGAGCGCACCTGGCTGCTGGCGGGCGTCATCAGCTGGGGCGAGGGCTGTGCGGAGCGCAACCGGCCTGGCGTCTACATCAGCCTAGCCGCCCACCGCTCCTGGGTACAGAAGATCGTGCAAGGGGTGCAGCTCCGCGGGCACTCGCAGGGTAGCGGGCCCACAGGACGCCGGGGACGGGCTCTGGGGGCGCGGCGAGCTCGCAGGGCCGCCCGGGGCCGCGGGGTTTAGGGATCTGGGGAGACCACGTGCTGTTTCCTCCGTTGTAAATAAGCGGTCTACCTCTGGGAGCGCCCGAGTGCCGGCGCCGGATCTCCTCCGCGAGGAGGCCCCGCCCCGCCCCTGGGCTCAGGCCCCACCCCCGAGGCCTGGAGCGCCTTTGTGTACATACATGTTAATGATTTTTACAGTTATTTGTAACTCCTCCCACACATCTTATTTATTCCTCCAATTTCAATAAATTATTTTTACCCTAGTTCCTATTTTTTCCCTCGGGTATGGGAACATTGGGAAGAAGGGTCCAGTCAGGGTTAAAACGGGGGTTGGCAGGTAGGACTTTGGATGGTGGTCTGGCCAGGGACCCAGGTGTCCTGCCCACCTAGGATTCAACATCCTGACTTCTGACCTTTGCACTGTCCTTTTGTAACCCCTTGCCACCAGGGAGACCAAATGGAGAGGAGACAGGATGCCCAGCAACCTGGGAGGCCCAGCTCTCCCACCTGAAAGGTGGGTGTTGGGGGCTGCAGGGCCAGGCAGGTCCCCAACCTGCCTGTTGAATTTCCGAAACAGGGCTGGCTAGGAGAACACCCCCCCACACACACACACACACGAGTGGGGTGTCCCCCATCCTCCCTCATCTTAGAGCCGGGTGTCTCAGATTTGGGCTGAGGCAGCCAGGACTCCCCAGGAGCTGACTCAGCCAGTGACTCACTGCTGATTCTGTGAATCCTCCCCCCGGAACGAAGGAGCAAAACAATGAGACAGCAGGTCTCTGTGGGGGCTTGAGTCACCTCACCTGCCCCCACGGGGTGGGGCTGAGAGCTGGGTCCTAGGCCACCATAGGGTCTGCCTGGGACCGAGCTAATGCTCCCCTTTCCCAATGCCCACCATTCTGCAGCCAGGCCTCTGGCCTCCTGGACCAGCCCTGCCCCTCCTCCCAAGGCCCAGGATACTGTACCCCATCAGCGCCACCTGGGCTTCCCAGAAACAAGCGAATGTGCAGGCAGGGCTGTGTGGTTGGTTTGATGAGTATGTGCGAGAGAGATTTTTTCTAACAGTCAGGAAGACAAGTAGGTCCAGCTGTGCAGAGGACAGAGCTGAGTGGCTGCCTCAGGGTCTCCAACTAGAAACGTAAATGTAAAATCAGTGCAGTGAGCTTGAGAAGGCAGCACAGGTGTGGTTTGATTGGTTGGTATCCTTTACTGCGAGCACTGTCCTAAAACTTCTGTTCATATTGTTTTGATTACCCCCATGTTAATAAGTGCTGTGGGGTTGGTCTTATTAACAAACAAACGCTAACCTGGCCTCCCGCTGGCCTGGGAACCAGCTGGGGGGTGAGCAGGTGGCTCAGGTGAGGCCCCTCCCCTTTGTGACCTGGTCCCGCTTTACCTGTCACTCTGCTTCCCTTGTCCACTTACCCTCCTCTCTGGACTCAGTCTCCCCTCCCCCCCATACCCCTCCACTAGTGCCTCATTCGCTGCCCTTCTTGCTGCCTCCATTTCCCCCTCTGCCCTCCAGGCTCTTCCTCTGTTCCTCTCTCCCCCACGTCCTGTCCCTGTCCCCTCACTCCTTCTCTGTCTCTGTCTCTGGCCACTGGCCTCTGTGGCTCAGTGTCCCCCACACCCTGACTCCCACCGCCCTCTACCTCTGCTTCCAATGGCATCCTGACAGAAGCCCCTGAGAAGGCCACACCTAGAAACATCTGCTGGGGGGACTTCCCTGGTGGCGCAGTGGTTAAGAATCCGCCTGCTAATGCAGCAGACACAGGTTCGCGCCCTGGTCCAGGAAGATCCCACATGCCGTGGAGCAGCTAAGCCCGTGCGCCACAACTACTGAGCCTGTGCTCTAGAGCCCGTGAGCCACAAATACTGAGCCCACATGCCACAACTACTGAAGCCTGTGCACTTAGAGCCCATGCTCTGCAACAAGAGAAGCCATCACTATGAGAAGCCCACGCACCGCAACAAAGAATAGCCCCCGCTCTCCACAACTAGAGAAAGCCCACATGCAGCAACAAAGACCCAGCACAGCCAAAAAAATAAATAAATAAATAAAATTAAAGAAAACAAAGGAAACATCTACTGGGGCTGAGAAGTCACCCCGTAAATGTGGGACCCTCAGGTGAGGGTGGGTTTTCTCTGAGCTGGCCATCACCCTCCAGGGAACCCCAGAGCCGGAGGCACCTTCCCAGAGCCCCAAGAAGCCTGACAGACGGGCTGGGCCATGGGGTGGGGAGCCCGCCCCGGCTCCAAAGTGTGACAAGATTTCCAGTGACTCCCTCCCCAGTTGGGTGGGGGTCCCAGGAGGTGGAAATGTGGTCAGTCCAGCCCTGGTGGGGTCCACACCAGCATCGCAGAGAGCTTGTTTGCCCCTTGGTTGGAACCAGGCCAGGAGCAAGCCCCAAATGGGCGGGGGTGGGGGCCATCACTGCTTCGGCTCCACCGACACCTCCTGCCTCTGGGGGCCGCACATGGAGCTCCTTTGGCCTGTCGGGCTAAGGGGAAGTGCCAGTGGGAGGGGCTGGCACGCCAACCTGGGCTCCCAGCAGGTGCCTCCACTCACCTTTAACTCCCCACATGGAGCAGCCCCAGGGAGAGTCCTCCTTACCTCCCCCAGGGCAGGGGTGCCGCCATCTGGCCACAGTGACCCATGTCCTTACTATGGAAGTGCCTTGGTCATAGGCTGCGAGGTCTGGCTACTGCTCCTCCACATGCTCCTTCCTCAGATCTTTAATTCTTTAGAAGACTTTCACTTCCACACCAGGGACCTGCCAATTCGTCTCTACTCTGCATCCAGAACAAGTGTGTAAATCACATCTAACCCCATGAGGTCCCTCGGTGGCCGACTCCTTTGGCTGGCTAAGCCAATAACCCCATTCCAACACCCCTCCCTTCCTTCTTCCACCTCAGAGACTGGAAAAACTAAATGTTCCTTTCCACAGTCTCCCACAAGGTCCCAGTGGAAACAGATGTCTGATGGGTAGTTTCTTGGGAAGACTTTGTTTTGTTCCTGATAACAGGAACATGTTCAGTTGGCATTATCCTTTCCCACCGTCTGCCTTCTTCTAGTCTTGGATACAGATGTAATGCCTAATCCTTAGCAGCCATCTTATCAACATGGGGCTACGAGTTGAATAACACCTAAATTGACAGTGAACAAAGATTCAGAAGCTGCGGGTGTGAGGACATGGTTGAGAAGTTGCCTCCATCCTAGACAGCCACCTCCATCCTTCTTGTGTGCTTTCAAGCCACTGTTGGTCTGATCTTCTTTTACTGCAGCTAAATGCCTTTGTAACTGATATGCCTGCTTCAGACCCTCTGTCAATCTAAAACTATTCTGAACAATCGTTTTTTAATTAATTAATTTTATTTATTTTTGGCTGCATTGGGTCTTTGTTGCTGCACGTGGGCTTTCTCTAGTTGCAGCGAGTGGGGGCTACTCTTCGTTGTGGTGCATGGGCTTCTCATCGTGGTGGCTTCTCTTGTTGCAGAGCACGGGTTCTAGGTGTGTGAGCTTCAGTAATTGCGGCACGTGGGCTCAGTACTTGTGGCTCTCAGGCTCTAGAGCGCAGGCTCAGTAGTTGTGGCACAAAGGCTTAGTTGCTCCGCGGCATGTGGGATCTTCCTGGACCAGGGCTCGAAGCCGTGTCTGCTGCATTGGCAGGCGGATTCTTAACCACTGAGCCACCAGGGAAGCCCCCAGAATAGTTTTAGATTGACAGAAAACTTTTTTGCTTTTTTTTTTTTTTACAATAAACACTGTTATCATGGAAACAGTATGTCAGATTTTGTCAGTGCAATCAAATCACACTTAAATTATCCAAATTATGAAGGCTTTGAGCTCATACCTATCCACAAGAGCTTTGGACCTTCGGAGGGTGTCCCAGTTAGTTTCATGTTTTCATATCATGCTTACTCAAGAGCAAGTATTTTCTTTCTCTCCCTTTCCTGCTTGAAGTCTCCCAGTCAGTGCTACTGCCCGGGGAGGCATCTGAAGGAGTCTCACCATGACCCCATTGATGGTGCCTTAATGAGTTCACCAGTCTCCTCACCAAGGGCGCAAGCTCCCCAAGCTCCCCAGACTGGCTGGGGAGTGTGGAATTCTACGTGAAGGTGGAGACAATGGATTTCCCAGCTCCAAGCCAAACTTTGCTACCTGTGCCCAGGTCGTTGTGCTCATAGTATCACAAAGTCGCTCATGGGAAAGATGACTGGGCCTGTGAGTATGACCTTCAAGGTCTGCAACCTTAGACCTCACATGATGACACCAGGCAGACTGGCAGGCAGCTAGTGAGTAAGAGCGTAACCAGGGCATGCGGGAAGGTGGTGTGTGTCAGACTGTGGGGGCTGTGTTCATCTGCCTCACCACTTGGCCTTGACCCAATGGGCCTGTGGGTCTGATTTCCTGTTGGCAGCTACTAAACAATCACACACAGGCAAACCAGGACAAATACCAGTTTTCAGGGACACAGTTGTCTCAATTCTTACTGAGGGGGGAATAATCACTTTCACAGAACATAGTCTATTTTGCTGGTTCTTCCTCATTTCCCCAACCTCTGTGTGATTGATGCCCCAACATCATATCTGGGACTTCTCTCCTCCTTCACCTACTTGTATCCATGGGTGATAGCATCTGGTGTCATAGCTCTACACACTATCCATAGAGGTGACTCCAGAGTTCTCTCCCTGCATGTCCACTCAACTAATCAACATCCCCTTGTAAATATCATATAGACATCTCATCCTTAAGGTGACCCCAAATGAATCTCAGTATTCCCTCTCAAACTTGCTCCACTGGCAGAATTTCCATCTCAGCACAAAGCAGCTGTCCTTCCTTCCAACTGCTCAGTTTGGGAACCTTGGAGTACTGACAACACCAAGTGTTGGCAAGGATGCAGAGCTCCTGGAACGCTCACATGTTGCTGGTGGGAGTGCAAACTGGTACTGCCCCTGTGGAAAACATGCTGACTGTTTCGTGTAATGTTGAACATCCATGCAGCAATCCTACTCCTAAGATTGATCCAAGAGAGAAGAGAACATATTCTTACAAAATCTGTATGCAGATATTTATAACAGCTTTATTCAGAATTGGTAAAAATTGGAAACAACCCAAATGTTTCTTCAGCTGGTGAATGGATAAGCAAACTGTGGTCCATCCGTTCAGTAGAATTCTACTTAGCAACAAAAATGAACAAACTATACACAACATGGTGAATCTTTTTTTTTAAATCTTTATTTATAAATTTATTTATTTATTTTTAAATTATTTATTTATTTATTTTTGGCTGGGTTGGGTCTTCGTTGCTCCGCACGGGCTTTCTCTATTTGTGGTGAGCGGGGGCTACTCTTCGTTGTGGTGCATGGGCTTCTCATTGCGGTGGCTTCTCTTGTTGCAGAGCATGGACTCTAGGTGCACAGGCTTCAGTAGTTGTGGCATGCGGGCTCAGTAGTTGTGGCTCTCAGGCTCTAGAGCCAGTCTCAGTAGTTGTGGCGCAAGGGCTTAGTTGCTCTGTGGCATTTGGGATCTTCCCGGACCAGGGATCCAACCCATGTCGCCTGCATTGGCAGGCGGATTCTTAACCACTTCACCACCAGGGAAATCCCTCTTTTATCTTTGTCTGCGTTGGGTCTTTGTTGCTACGCACGGGCTTTCTCTAGTGGCGAGCAGGGGCTACTCTTCGTTGCGGTGTGCAGGCTTCTCATCGCGGTGGCTTCTGTTGCTGCGATGCACGGGCTCTAGGTGAGCGGGCTTCAGTAGTTGTGGCACACAGGCTTAGTTGCTCCGTGGCATGTAGGATCTTCCCAGACCAGGGATTGAACCTGTGTCCCCTGCACTGGCAGGCAGATTCTTAACCACTGCGCCACCAGGGAAGCCCCACAACATGGTGAACCTTAAGCACATGATGCCGAGGGGAGAAAGCTGAACTCCAAAGGCTCCACACCATGATTCCATTTATATGACACTGTTGAAAAGGCAAATCTATAGGGACAGAGAGCAGATGGGTGGTTGCTAGGGGCTGGGGTGGGGAAAGGATTGCCCCCAAAGGGGCATAGGGGGATTTTTTAATAGTGATGGAACTGGCTTTACATCTTGATTGTGGTAATGGTTACATAACTGGATGCATTTATCAAAACTCATAGGACTATAATTTATTAAAAATGGTGAAATTTACTCTGTGTAAACTATACCTCCATAAAACTGATTTTAAAAACCCCAACAACACAAAACTGTGGCATCTTCCTTACGCCTCTCTTCCTCTCATTCTCTAAGTTCAAGCCATCAGCACATCCTGTGAGTTCTATCCTATCTCCAAAATACGTCCAGATCTGGCCACTTCTTTCCCATGCCATCCCAAGCGACTTTCCTCTTTATCCCAGATTTCTGTCATGGCCTCCTAACTGGTCCCACTGCTTCGGCTGTTGTTCCCACCAGGCTGTTCTCAGCACAGCAGCCAGAGTGGTTCTCTTAAAACCTAAGTCAGATCCTGTCATTCTATTCCAAACCCTACTCAGAGTAAATGATGTCATCTTTCCAGCCTCCCTTCTCATCTCTCTCCTCCTTGTTTGTGGGGCTCCAGCCTCTCTGGCTTCCCAGCTGTGTTTGGGAACACAGCAGGCATGCTCCTGCCTCAGGGCCTTTGCACCTAGGGTTTCCTCTTCCCCTGCAGGACTGCATGGCCACTCCCTCCCTTCCTACAAATCTCTACTCAGATGTCACCATGTCATCATCTTGTTTACAATGTTCCTTCCCTCCACTCTTGCTCCTTTCCTTGCTTTCTCTTTTTCCAGCACATTTATTACTATTTAATATATACAATTTATTTCATTTGTTCCTTGTTTATCATCCCCTCCCTGACACACATAACCAGAAGGTAAACCTCTGTCCCTGCATTTGTCATGTTCTCTTATTACTGTCTATTTACTCATTTATCTTTCCCAGGAAATATTCTGAGCTTATGAAAGGTGAGACCTTTACCTTATCCAGCATGATACAGTCAGTGTCCAGAAAACGGTCCTGGAAAAAAAAAATGTTAGTAAATGTTTCTTGAGTTAATGGTAATGAGTATGGTCTATGTCACCAGTTTGGTGGACAATGTGGACACATCTCTTTTGTTTTTCTAATTATTCACTCAAGCACTGAGTTCTCTCCTTAGCAGAAGTCTATTCTTTCTTGAGGCCACCCCATTCTGCCCAGAAATTATCCAAGAATCCTACAGGTTGACTCGGTCTGTAGGGAGGAGTCCTATGAGAACTGGAAAGTCGTGTTATTCCTTCAATTCGGTTCCACTGCTTGGGTCAAGGTCAAGTGGGGACGCCGATGAACACACCTCCTGCCTGCAGTCTGACTCACACTGCCCTCCCCCTCGCCCTGCTTACACTATACGCAAGCTCACTGCCAGCCCGCCCTGGTTTGCACGTGAGGTCTAAGTTTGCAGGTCTTACAGGTTGCACTCAGAGACCAGTCACCCTTCCCACGAGCAGAGCACCCAGGTGGCTATGTTCAAAGGAGCATCTAGCCTCAGCCACCTGCTGAGCTCCAACCCTTAGATATTGCCATTGATGCACATCACTCAGGAGGTTTGCCTTTGGGGTCCTTGGGTTTAATTTCTGCTAACTGACCCAGTGGGGACTGTCCCTAATCATCAGAGAAATTCTAATAATGTCAAACTCACTAAATTCAACTTGCCTTGTCCTACTCCACAAATGAAAAGTAAAGGCTTTGCTGTGGATTAACCATGAACTTAGAGATTTCTACTCTCCGTGAGCTGCAGTTTCCTCTGGGAAGAAGGGAGTCAGGAGGTGGCCGGTCCACAGGGAGACATCGTGTGCCCTGGGTGGGACAGGGAGGCCAGGTGGCCATCCCTTAGCAGCGAGTAGGGACCCCAGGTCTCCTGGACACAGGAGGTGATGGGCTGCCTGCTGGATGACGTGGCTTTCACATCTCAGTCTGGGGAAGCCCGACCAGCTCCACCGACCCTGGATCCTAGGAGGGACTGGCCTCAGATGGGCCCTGTGGTACCCGGCCTCCTCTCAGCTGTCTCCCTGGAAGGGGCAGGACAGGAGTCCGAGAGGACTGCCAGCGAGGAGCGGGCCAGGTCCTGCCCAGCCAGGGCTCCGGGTGACTGCCATCGGTGAGGGACCCACCAACCATCCCTCGGGTGCCATCCAAGGATGCTGACCCTCAAACAGTGTCTGCAGGTGGTAAGTCATGCGGCTGGCCAGGCCTCTGCCTGTTTCTGCTGCTGCATCTGTTGACCGCTGCCCTGCCCCACCACTGGGCCCTCTGCTCTCCTGTGGGGCCTGGGTCTTTTGCTTCTGTCATCCTCCAGGGAGATTTCTGGTTGGCTGGGACAGGGCCAAGGGGCAGAGGCCTGGCCCTGGGGGCCAGCGAGCCTCCTGGGGAGGTGGGAGGAGGAAGAATCAAGGAGGAGACCCGGAAGCTCCTTCCATCTGGGGTGGCCTCCCCCAGACCAGAAGGAGAATTGGGATTCGCCCTGTTCTTGCACTCCTGGTCTAACAGAGCGGGGTGACTTTATGACCAGAATGGTGACCCTGCCTCCCTGGTCTGTCTTTCCTAGGGGCCCTCAAGGATGTGCTGCCTCCAGGTTGGCCCAGCCCTGGACGTCCCAGCCAAGGGTCCAGGGCCAGTGGGGTGTGCGTAGGAGGTGCTGGAGTAGAAACTGAGAGGAGGGGACACATGTGATGGCTGAGGCTGGGCCCCGTCCCCACCTGCCGGTCTCTCCCGGGGTGGGGCCTATCCAGGGATGCGGGAAGATTGTGGGAGACCAAGGGGCCCAGGAAGGAATGTGGCTGCAGCAGGTGAGCTGAGGATGGCCTCAAGGGGCACGTGGGTGGGGGCTCCCTCACCCCCCTCAGCTGGGCGCCCTGGGCGTTACTGCTTCCTTGGGTGAGTGGGGTGGGTGGAGGGCGGCCACGGGCTCCTTAGCTGCAGAGGCAGCACCTGCGTCTGTTCCCTCCTAGGTCTTTATTGATTGATTGATCGTGTGCTTTGGAACAGCTGTGCTTTACTAAACAGGACGGCGTCTCCAGCAAGAGTGAAGGGGCATCTCTACACCCGGCTCTGGATGTGGGACTCAGGGTCTGTGTGAGCAGGAAGCTAAATGGATGCCCTGACTCACGTGGTTGTGTGTCGTTTTTGTTACTGCTGCTGCTGCTGCTTTTGCTGTGGTCACTGTGGGTGCTGTCTCCACTGTCACTGGGTTGTGGTAGTGGTTGTTGCTGCCATTGCAGCACGAGTGAGGGCGGCCCCTCAGCCCTGCTGGGCGGCGGGCTCGCCCAGAGCTCGGGGCTCCATGGAGGGCATCCCACACTGCTACTTCCCTGCTGGTCTTGCAGAGTCTCCTGGAGGGCAGGGGCGGCCGAGGCCCACCTGGGGGACACAGACCCTGGTGCTGACATAGTGGGGACACTCCCAGCGCCATCATCCCCGGAAGCTGGCATGTGGGATCATCAGCGCCTCCTGGGTGTTCGGATCCCAGCTCTACTGTGTTGAGGCAGGTGGGTCGCTCCCTCCCTTTCCCATCCCAACTTGACCTCCGTGTCTGTGAACAGTCTCCTTGTCCACCCTCGACCATGGGCAGGGGTGGCCCAGGGGACAGATTCCTGGTGCAGTTAGACTCCCTGAGCCCTCTCACCACAGGGACCTGCATAGGACTTGGGGGCCTTGGGCCAGTGTCCTGGATTCTGCCCGTGGCGGAGCCAGTGCAGTTGAGGCTGAGAGGCTGTGAGATTAGTAGGGCCCTCAGTTCCCAGGCAGATGCCTGGGGCTTGAACTTACTGCCCCAGCCCCTGCCTCCTGGTTCTGGGAGGCGGGAGGAGCTGGGTGGGCAGAGGCGCAGGAGATCCAGTCCTAGCGTGGGTCCTCCCGGCGGTGGCTGGGCCCATCTGGGTTTGGGAGACGTACTAGCAGGTGAGCACCTAGGATAGCCCAGCCTCCCCAGGAAGGGCCTCATCCAGTATGACATGTTCCGTGCCTCTTTGTGATGGGAAAAAAGACTCCTGCGAGGTGACGGTGGCTTCCATCCACCCTCCAGGTTCTTCGTGTCCCCACTCGGTCCCCACCCCCACACCCCAGCATCCACAGGGAGCAGCATCCTTGCCCAGCCCCTGTGACCTCAGCAGAGGGTGCGCAGGCCCATGGGCTCTGGAAGGCCTCATGCTCGGCTCCTGCCCTCCCTGTCCCTGGGGTGACTGGGGGGGCCACTGCTCTGTTCCATCTATGATGCTTGGATCCCGGTTGGGACTGTAAGCTGGGAATCAGGCTGCGTTGGGCCATACCAGCCTGGTGTCTACACCCATGTGCCAACCTATACAGACTGGATGGGGAACACTGGCAAAGTCTCCCTCAAGCACCTCTGGGTTCCACGCTGTGCCCCTGCTTGAGCCGGTGGCCTTACTCTTGCTTGGGGCCCTGTGAACTCTGAGTGATGCAGTCCAGACTCACCCTTCTGGTGGGATTTGCAATTCAGGAGGCTTGGAGGTGACACAGAAAAAATGGACCTCAAACTGGGGATTTGAAGGTGACAGCCCAGGTGCTTGAGGCTCCAGAGCTCAAAGTGACTCTGGTGCATCGTGACTCCTGGAATAGCTGGTCCTTCACTTAAGCAAAACGCCTCATGTGTATGTTCACATTTATGTTTCTGTGTGTATATGTTTGCGTGTGTGTCTGTATTTGTGTATGTATCTGTGTGTGTCTGTATATGTCTCTATGCATCTATATGTGTACATGTGTGTGTGTGTGTGTTTATGTGTCTGTGTACATTCTGTACGTGTCTGTGTTTGGGTGTATCTGCGTGTGTGTCATGTGTGTATGTGATCTGTCTGTGTGTGTGTTCCTCAGAGCGCCCCACATTTGCTGGCAAAAGACAGCAGAAACGGTTCAGTTCCCCCAGCCAGGGGTGCCTCCTCCCCCCACCCCACCTCCCACTTGTGCCGATGGTGAGTGAGGAGGAAGGAGCCTGAACCAAGAGCAAAACCCACGGAGACCTTGCAGCCTGACCTTGGTTGTGATACACACACCAGCCCCTTTGTCATCTGTTTCCCTGGCCACTTCCAGAGGGTGTTTGCAGAGGATCTGGAAGACTGACACTTGTGCTCATAAAACTCCACCCCAACCCCGGCTTGGTGCAACAGACAGAGAGGGTTCTCTTGGGGCCTCTTGGGGGTGGGGTGGAGTGGAGGAGCTGCCCCACCTCCAGCAGCTCCTCTCAGCATCTGGCTGCCCAACCACCCTGGCTGCACGGCTGAATGTCTCTCAAGGGCCCCCTGATGGCTGGCCGGTGGTCCCTGCACCCTGGTGGGCCTCTGGTGGGCCTGGGACTAGTGACACTGTCCAGGGACAGGTTAGGGGCTGGGAGTTCAGTGTGTGGAGAAGAAACAATTCACAGCCCCCAAACAAACGACCCTCCATGGCTCAGCCAGGACGTGGATAAGGAAGAGGTTAGAATGTATGCAGATGTTCCGAAGGCTGACAGGCTGACTTCTGACCAAAGGCCAGATGAAGAGCAGGATCCAAGCCCAGGATAAACCGTCCCTCCGTCAGCCTGGACCCCAGGGCTCAGGTTTGACATGTGCCCGGTTTCTTAACTTTTGTAGAACCACTGAGAAGGAGATCACAGGGGCCAGGCCGGCTCTGCCAAAGTCCCTGTAAGTTCTGGGCCCCGAGTTCCCAGAGCAGCGGAAAGAAACCTGCAAGGAGACTGCCTGCTGTGTGAGTTTTGAAGTGTGTGGGGACACTCAGGAAAGGACATCTCTCCCCCCAGATGGCACCCAGATGGGCACTGGATGGACATCTGAGCAGGGGAGCGGGGGTGGGGGGGGCAGAGCGATAGTAGGTTTAAATTCCACAACCACTGGGTAAATTACAACAATTCTCTCAGCCTGGGTTCCCTCATCTGTAAAGATAGGATGTTAACACCCACCTGAGAGGTGTTGTGAGGACTAAATGAGAGAACAATTGTGAAACCATCTGGCGTTAGGCCTGGCCCCACATGGGTGCAGGATGGATGCTACTGCTCCTTCAGTCCATCCTTCCATCCATCCATCCACCCCTGTTGCAGGAATAAATCAAGTCACAGGAGAATTACTCACACACGTACACAAAACATTGCAACAGAAAGCAGTTTTCACAAGCAGCACTCTGGAACCAGTTCCTTTCTGTTGCATAATTAATTCCTTGCCCCTGGCTTGCTAAAAGGGAAATGTTTCCAGTACTGAGGAGACTCCACTCCTTTTCTGGGGCCCACCTTTCCTGGGGCTGGCAGCTGGGAGCGGGTCGCCTCCCAGTGCTTCCTGGTTGGCAACAACGAGGGTCAGAATGGGACAGTGTTGATGGGAAGAGTGACAGCACTGATCCCCACAGCAGTCACTGCCTTAGACTGGGGAAGGTAGGAGAAGAGGAGCATTTGGAGGAGAGCCGGAAGAGGAGCGGGTGGGGGGAGGAGGGGAGGGAGGGGCCGGAGCAGGCGTGGCGCCAGCTCAGGGGCTGTTGTGGGGACTAATTGCGAAGCACCTTCCTGGGCACGGTTCATCCTTATTTGGGAGCCGGTTCTTGGGAATTCCTTCATCATTCCCACTGCAAACACTGAGGTGTCCTCCGGGCCAAGCCCTGCCCGGGCCCCACGGAGTCACGCGTGGTGGAGACAGCGTCCTGAGACGCTGTTCTCAGAACCTCCGGTCATCAGAATATAAGGCTCGCATAGTGCGCGGGCCCAGGCAGCTTGGGGGCGCCTGGAGCCACTCCCCTTGGGGGCAAGAATCAGGCGGGCTCACGTGTGTGCAGAACCTTTCTTCAACACGGGCATTCAGCATCACCCTGGCCTTGCCGATTGGTACCAGCTCAGGGTCACCTGGCCTCTGGTCCTGACCACCTGGCCGCGAGGAAGCAGGGCGTGGTGGGACCCGAGACCGGCTCAGGACCGCACTGGGCCTCGCTGGGTCCTGCTTCCCCGCGCGGGTCATCAGCTCTCTGGTCACCGCGGCGGGCCGACTGGGCGGACGGCTTCTCGGGGCCAAATCCCCACTTGAAGCCGATTCCCGAAAGGCAGTGGAGCAGGTGCTGGCCGTTGGCGGACGGGAGTGTCAGCCGGGAGGCGGGAGGGCGGGCGCTGCACCGCAGCCCCGCGCGGTACCCGATGGTGGCCTGGCGCCTCCTGCTGGTGCCGCAGCGCAGATGCCGGATGCAGGCCGCCCGGGTGACCCTCTAGCGCGTCTACCGCAGGGACTCCGGCCCGCTACCGCTGGGGGCTCCTTACCGCGGGCTCCAGTGCGCCCTAAACCTCAGCCGGATGCTGGGAGGGAGGCGGACTTTCCGGCCGCAAACTCCCCCCTCCAACCACCCCCCCCCCCCCCCCCCCCGGGCCTGATGTTTGCTGTGAAACACCCAAGAGGCACAGAGCCTGGGTATGTGAGGAGGAAGAAATCAGGCAGGTTCTGCCCTAGGTGACCCCCAAGGGGTTGAAGACACAGAAGCAACTGCACGGAACAGAAGGCCGGCTGCAGAGAAAGTGGGAGACAGGGCCCCACCCTTCCCTCATTTAGGTGGAGTTGCTTGTGCTCTTCTAAGTAAATTAAAAGTCTAATCCCACTGCCCCATCCAAGGACTTGCGGGATAACACTGCTGGGGGAGCATCACTCGGATCAGGCCTCCAGACTAGTGTCCTGATCCTGGTGACATCACATCACTGCTTTATTCCCACTGTATCTGAAGCAGCAGCCTCGGAGAGGTTCCGCACCTTGCCTGAGGTCACTAGGGGAGATGGTGGCCAAGGCCAGGCAGGACCCCAGTGACAAGTCCCGAGTCAGGCAATCATTGCCACACCCCATTGCCCCTGATCCACGGAGACCCCTGCTGAGCTCCAGGCACCCCTGGCTCCTCGGCCTCTTCCCAGCCAGCGTTCAGCCCCATTCCCTGTCCCTGGTTCTTGCAAACGTCCCCCAGCTAATGGGCACATGCAGAGCTCAGCACAATCCAACCCATCTCCCCAAGGGACCACACAGGAGGACAGGCTTTCACCTATTCGACCCCTTGTGACAAGTGGGGAGCCCACCTGGGGAGGAGGAAATGTAGAAGAGCTGCCAGCCTGCTAAGCCCTCAGCAAAGACCATACTCAGCACAGCGCAGACAAAGAGCTGGAGATTCCCCTTAACCAAGCCTAAGACTGGAAAATCTCTATTATGAGTTTTGCTGCCCTTTCTGGTTCCCTCCTTCTGCCTTCCCCTGACACAAGAAGAAAAGAACGTCCCGCAAAGCAGCTGCAGATACACCTGTTAAAACGTGCCTTACAAGTGTCCTATGAACACCTGTGCTTTTATTATTGATTCTGTAAAAGGCAAATCTGGGGGTTCCCTGGTGGCCTAGTGGTTAGGATTAGGTGCTTTTACTGCAGAGGCCAGGGTTCGATCCCTGGGGTCGGGGAACCATCCTGCATTACAAGTGGGGCATGGCCAAAGTTTAAAAAAAAAGGAAAAAGCAAAACACAAACACCCATAATTTGGAAGCAGTGCTGAGTGTGAATTTCAAGCTATCTGGGACAACTCTAATTGATATGAAGAGGCACAGGCACTGTTAAAGAGGGGTCCCAGGTCCCTTCTACCAATGGAAACATGAAATTTCCAGTAGAAGACAATGAAAATATCAGTGCTTTTTTCCTGATCCGAGTTCAAGGATTCCTGAATTTTCCCACAGACTCCAGGTTAAGAACCACTAAGTGACTCTCAACCAGCATGTAAAATTAGAATTAGAGAAGAGGAACATGTCAGTGAGTATCACAAAGAGACATGAGGATCCGTTAGGAAACTTTTGCGGTTCTGAGCCCAGACTTTGCAGCCAGACTTCCTCAACCTGAATCCCGACTCTGCCACTTAGTGCTGTGTGACAGGCCGAGCCACTGTGCTCTCTGGGCCTCCGTTTCCTCCTTTTGCAAATGGGGACAATAGACGTCCTGTCCTTCTAGGGCTGCTGGGGCAGGGAGCTGAGGTGGGACAGGGCCTGGCGCTTTACACCGTGGCTGAGTGTTTGGCTGTTGCAGTTTGATGGATGCATTTGATAGAATGTGAAAGGCCTGGGGTCTGCTTTAGTTTTCCTTTAAGCTATAACAAATGACCACTCTTCAAGGAGTGCTGTGCTTGACTACCCCTGGTTCTGGCCTTTGCCCATGTTGATCTCTTGGTTTGCAATGCCCCCCTCCCCTTGTCCCCACCTGGCCAGTTCTCACTCAGCCTTTAGGACTTAGCTCAGATATTGCCTCCTCCAGAAAGGCTTCCCTGAAGCCTACCCCATCACTGGGCATGTGCTACACAAGGCGCTACACCTGTCCCTATCAGTTCAGATGCAGTAACCAACTGCCTCCATCTGCTTCTGCACCTGTCCCCCATCGGGTGTCCCCAGCTGGATAGCTGGCCTCTTAATTTCTCTGGTGTTCAGGGAGCCTGTTGTGGACCAGGCCTTGGCAAATGTATGCTGAGTGAGTGAATTAATGTATGAATGAATGGTTTCCCTGAAGCCCTTTGCACACTCAGAGAAGCCTGGAATTGAGCCTGGGCAGCACAGGCCACCTGGATGAGCTTGTAGCAGGGAGTGGGGGATGGAGCATCCTCGGAGCCAGGAATCCTCATAGATTATGGGATCTGCCTGGGGTCTGCACGGGCAGGCCCAGCATCCTGGGCAAAATCACCGAGGCCTGGGGTGTCAGACCCACCTCCTGCCTCGTCCTGCAGCTCTGCTCAGTGAGCTCCGCCCCGGAGGCCTCATCCCCCACAAGCTCAGAAGGCTGTGTTCTATCCCAGACTCAAGGACCATGCCTGGACGCCTTGTTGCTTCAGAAGCTTGATTTATTGATGGATTCTGATTCAGAGTCTCAACTCAGACTCCCTTGTGCATGAAGCCCACCACCAGCCAGATGGGCTCAGCAGGGTAACCCAGGTCCCAGCCCTGGAGACCCAGGAGCACTCATTTCTTTTAGGTTGTGGTGCTATCTGGTGGAACAGAGTTCAAGGTTACTAGAGGATAATCCCACTCAAAGCCGATACTGGAAATGCCCAGGAGCCTGTAATGCTCAAAGATTCCAGTGAGCACCTCCTTACTGTTACCTGGGGAGTCAAAAAAGGTCCTGCCACCTTCCTCTCCAAGTGTGGAGAGTGCTTCCTCTCCAGCACTCAAAGTCGGTGTATATGACCAGGTGCTGGAGGAAAAGCTTGTAGGAGCCGTAGATTTCTATAATGTGTTAACCTGGCAGCAGGAGGCATTCCTGGGGCTTCGCACCTGAGACTCCATATTTTTCACTCCAGGGGATCCAAACCTCACCTGGATACTGGGAGGAAGGGGGAGCTTTGAAGGCCTGGGATCCAGGTGACTCACCACCCCCAGGTCCTTTATCCCCTGGTCACCAGCAAGAAGGACAGCCCTGTCACTGCAGCATAAGTCCCTGAGCACGTGACTTTGGGTGCCTGAAACAGGCTTCCTGATCTCAATCCCCTGCTTTGCCACTTTCAAGTTCTGTGATTTTGGGCTTGCTACCTAGCAACTCCAGGCCTCAGTGTGCTCATCTGCAAAGTGGGAGTGATTGGGGGAGCAGTCACTGAGACCTTCCATCAGGAGAGCTCCACAAGGTACCCAGTCACCATGATGCTCAGGAGGTGCCAGCTACTGTCATGACTCAGAGCAGGGAGCTGTCCCTGGGCCCAGGTTTTGGAGCCCCAATCACTCCAACAAGTCCAGGTGGCAGGCCTGAGAAGTAGGTGACTCTTATCTGTGACCTTCCCCGACCTTGGTGCCTGTCCCAGAGCCTCCCCTCCTCATCTGGCCCCACCCACATTCTGTCTCCTTTAGTGTCTGCAGCTCTGGCCCATTCCCTCTCCCAGGTCCCTGGGACCCAGTAAATGCAGAGCAAAGATCGACCCCAGACCTTGAGCAACGCCCCCACCCCATCATTAGTGGAAGACCCTGGGCTTGCTGCCTCTATATACTTCTTGTATTCAATCAGTGGTGCACTCTGACCCTCACTTCATTTTCTCTTTGACCCTAAACTGGGCAGACCTTTCTCCTGCTTTTCCCATCAGGTATTCTCAAACTGAGAGACCATTTATGGTTGAGTTTGGGTTGAAAGGACAAAGTAGGGAGAAGCATCATCTACCCTTCCCTTTAGATCAACCCAGGAAGCAGAGGCCGGACTTGCAGGAGGAGAGAGAAGGGAGTAGAGCTGGTGTGCAGGAGAGGAAGCAGCAGAGGAAAAGGGACAAAAAAAAGGCGATGACTGGTGGCTCCAGGACTCCAAGGACTCAACTGAACTCCTAGGGTCATCAGGAACCCAGTGAGGGTGTTGGGAGAAGGGGCTCTAAGCCCCACTACCCCTGTTCCCAAGACTGGGGCAGGAGTTGGGACACAGCAAGGGGCTCCATGGTGCTGCTCCTACTCACCTCTTAAATATGCCGATAGCACCTACAAACACTCAAATCCCAGTGATTTCATTTTCATAGTCTTTAAAGGTACTGAAATGCCATCCTCCTCCGGGCCCGTACATCTCTATTAGATGAAGAACCAGGTGGGATAAAAGAAAAAAACTACACAGGGACATGTTGGTTATTTCTGCCCAGAAGAGGGTGTACCCCCTCCAGACAATGGGACACGCCTGAGACTAGAGTTAGTCTGTGAGAAGGGCTGGGCCCAGACCCCAGGTCCTGGATGGAGGGAGGTGAGGGTGGCCTCTAGGGGGATGGGCTGGAGGGGAGAGACCCAGCCAGACTTACGCCCTGCCCAGCAGGTGGGGCTCCACAGAAGGGTGAGGATCAGCCATAGCAGCATGGCTTCTGGCTGGCGAGTGAAGGCCTCCTGGAGAGAAGAGAACAGGCCATCTGACTCTCAGAGATGGGTCCCACCCGATCTCGTTGGTCCATCCATGGCAGGGGGCACTGTCTTACCTGGCCTGGAGAGTCTTGTGGTCCAGTCCTGGCACTGGGGAGTCTTGTTGTACCTGGGCGCCCTCCACCTGGCCCTTTATACCCTCCTGGGCCCTATGGGCCACCCTCCAGAATGAAGGAACAAAGGGGCCACCAGGGGGACAGAAAGGAGCTGGGAAGTGGGGGCTCTTCCTGGAGGAATCCCCAGAGCCATCCAGGGGGAGGATCCCGGATGTGCTGTGTTTACTGTCTTGGCCCTGTGGCCTACACAAACAAAATGAAACAGTGACAAGCATTTTGCTGTCACCTGTGGGTCTCTCTCCTGGGTACCTGCACTTGACCTTGACTTTGGAGGTGGGGGAGGTTTCCTGAGAGCCCTTTCCAGCTTGACCAAACGGGGTTCAACCCCACAGGGGTGCTTCGGGGCAGCTGCCCCCAGTAGCTTCATGGGGCCCAGGACTCCTACCTCGTGCAGAACCTGGTCCAGGGCCTTATTCATGCTTGGGCAGAGCCCTGGGTTCCCTGGGCTTTCCCCTCTGGCCCTTAGACAGCCGAAGTGGACAGTCCAGTTCTGAGTGCCTGGTGCCAGGTGGTAGAGACACCCCAGGCACTGGCCCTCCATGGCCTGTCACTGGAAGACGTCTGAGATCTTTCCTTTGTGCTGAGTCTGGTGTAGCTGGGGATGAACTGGGCTGAATGGGCTATGGGATGACCAGCAGCAATGACACAGGACCAGAGGTGCTGTGGGTGGGGACAGGGTGATTCTCCAGGCAAGTTCTCCCCAGAGCTCCTGGGCAAGGCCGAGGGGTCAGACTTGATCTGGGAGGGAATGGGGTGTTTCTTGAGGGCAGGGGATCTGGGGACCCTCTTGGTACAGCAAGCCCAGGCTTTCTGTGACTGGACGGAGCTCAGGCTGTCTGCATGGCCTCCCTGACCTTTGGGAAGAGCCATGGGGTCACAGTCCTCAATATAGGGGTACTGTGGGCATGGATCTGGAGCCAGATCGGGTCTGAATCCCCACTTCCCTACTTCCTAGGCATGCCCTTTGGGGAGCTCATGTCACTCTCGTATGCTTCAATTGTCCCCTCTGTTATATGTGGGTAGCAATAGACCCCCCTCACAGGTGTTACGAGAATTCAGTGAGATCCTTCTCCATCCACGGGCCTGAACACAAAAGCTTTACACCTGTGGTCAGGTATGCAGGTTATTCTTTGAGCAGCCTTTGGAATCGCCCAAGATAAGACACAACAGACCTGTCTGTCTAGGTGACAGTTTTCATGAATGATGGTGTCCTCGCTGTGGCGGTGAACTACTCAGGCCTGGAGAAGAAATGGACCCCACAGCTGTGCTGACGCATTGCCACAGGAAACAGGCTGGGCATAGACTACAGTGTCCTGAACCAAGCCCCCCCCCGCCCATGTGGTTACAAGGAGAAGGGGTGCAGAGCATGGTCTGGTGTGTTCACAGCCTCACTCGGAAGTGCTGGCTGCCAGGAACTGGGACGTTGGCTTCATCGAGATGGCTGTGCTGGGGGGGCCTAGGGTCAGGGTGGAGGCCCTGTCTAGCTGTCACCTTCCTTACTTACATCAGGTCCCTACGCCAGGGGTCAGTACACTATGGTCCAAAGGCCAAGTCCAGCCCTCCATTGGTTTTTGCACAATCCGTGAGGTAAGAGTAATTTTTATATTTTTAAATGGTTAGAAAAATTTCAGGAGAAGAATGTGATTCATGGCCAGTTCATGAAATGCCAATGTAATTGTCCACAAACAAGTGTTATTGCCCATTCATTTGCATATCGTCTGGAGCTGCATCCAGGCTGCAAAGGCAGAGCTGGTCAGGTGTGACAGAGACTTTATGGCCCAGAAAACCTGAAACACGTGGCCCTTCACCCACAAAGTCAGGATCCCTGTCCCTACCCTGCAACAGATGCAGCCCTGCCCATGGTCGTGGCTGCAGGCAGCTTGGGGGCTTCATTTGACAACCAGCCTTTAGTGGGCAGAAGGGAGCAGAGAGCAGCTTTGTCCAGAAAGCCGTACCCCTCCTTCTGGCCATGCACTGGTCTCCCTGGACAGGCTCCTAGGGCTCAGGCCACCACTGACTCATGTTGCAAAGATGAGAGCCCCCATTGTCCTCCAGAGCCTTCACCCAGCCACCAGAGGCCTTCAGCCCCATGAATGCATCAGAGGCTGGGCTGGGGAAGGGCAGGGCCAATAGGCTGCAGAGGGGCAGAGAAACCCTCCCGAGGCCCTGGAATCCTCCTGGGGGAGGCGGAGGTGGAAGAGGCCTAGGACCTTGGCAGGCACAGCTCCTAGAGGAAAGGGCCCAGAGACATCACAAAGGGGACTTGTGTTCTTGTCCGAGCCCACCCTCGGGCACTTTTTCTGATAATGCTGTCTGTTCTTGAGCCTTCCTTCTAGATGCAGGCTGCCAGGGTTTGAGCCCAGAAGGAGGGTCTGTCTGGGCTGGGACTCCAGGAAGAAGTCCCTGGGGTGGAAGTTGGAGGAAGAAACGGCTGCCAGCCTGGACAAGGAAGGGTTGACAGGACATGCCCGAGAGCACACGGGAGGTGCATTTTCATAGAGTGCATGAGCATGCTTATAAGGGATGCACATGCACACACATGCGTTCAAAATGCACGTGTGCACCACAGGCTCACACGTGGATGCACCCTTTAACACACACACACGCTTGCCCAGCTTTCCCTACACCCAGGAGCTTGCACTCACCCTGCACAGCCGTGTACACCATGCATACCTATGCTGGAAGCCCCACCCTCAGAGGAGCCCTGCCCCCTTGTCCACCCTGGCCCAGTGCTGGCTGTGAGCCCGCTCGGGAGACTCAACACAGGCCCTTTGTCCCCTGGGATCAGGGCTGCCCACAAGGGGATTTAGCAGCATTGAAACCATAATCCCCTGTGTGGGCGTGCCCCAGATCTCACTCTGTCAGGAGCCTGGAACAATTGGGCCCCCTTCTCCCAGCAGAGGCAGATGCTGGTCTGGCTGGCTTGTGGGTTGGGGGTGGGTCAGGGCTGACATCCTTGCCTCCCTCCCCTCTGGATGTGGGGCTTGCAAAGACCCCTCTGTGCTCTGCAGCCTGAGGCACAGCAGACTGAGGGCCTCTGTCCCCAGCGCACTCAGAGCTGGTGGGCACCTCCCTGCAGCCCTCTGCAAGGAGTCCCACCCTGGCTCGCAGGCTGGATCCTGCGTCCTGGGCTCAGACTCCTGGGGCGAGGTGTGGGTGCTGACTCCTGCACGTGGCCTCATCTGACGCCTTAGGCCCCAGGAATCAGATGGAAGAGCCCGCTGAGTGGGGGAGGGGGAAAGATCAGATGGGAAGGGGCATTTTGTCCCCGCCTCAAGGGAAGTCCAAAGCTGGCCTTTGTGCCCGGGCTTGCCTTCAGGTCACTGCTACCAGACAAGGAGGCCCATCCTAAGGGGAAAACTTGGCTGTGCATTTTTGAAACTCTCGACTCTTCCCCTTTTACTCACTCATTCAAAAATCTCATTGGATGCTCTAAGCAAAACATTTTTCTCCACTTTTCCCCAGAGAAACTCAATACTTTTAATGGAATGCCAGGTCACCCAACAACACATTTTTCTCTAATCTTTTATGTAATTAAAATTCCATTAGTGTTGGGGCTTCCCTGGTGGTGCAGTGGTTGAGAGTCCGCCTGCCGATGCAGGTTCGTGCCCTGGTCTGGGAAGATCCCATATGCCGCGGAGCGGCTGGGCCCGTGAGCCATGGCCGCTGAGCCTGTGCGTCCCGAACCTGTGCTCCGCAACGGGAGAGGCCACAACAGTGAGAGGCCCGCGTACCGCAAAAAAAAAAAAAAAAAAAAAAAAAAAATGTTTTCTTTATGGACTTCCCTGGTGGTCCAATGGCTAAGACTCCATGTTCCCAGTGCAGGGGGCCTAGGTTCGATCCCTGGTCAGGGAAGTAGATCCCACACGCCGCAACTAAGAGTTTGCATGCCACAACTAAAAGATTCCCGAGTGCCACAACTAAAGACCCCGCATGCCACAACGAAGATCTTGTGTGCTGCAACTAAGACCCAGTGCAGCCAAATAAATAAATATTTTTTAAAGTTTTCTTTATTTTTTGTGTTTGCTTTTTATGTATTATTTGTGTGAAAGTATTATAAAGCTATTACAGTACAGTACTATATAGCCGATTGTGTTAGGTGGGTACCTCAGCTAACTTTGTTGGACTTATGAACGGAACTCGTTCGTATGTAGGGGACTTACTGTATTATCTCTGGTTTCCTTGGAGTCCGTTCAGTTTATTGAAATAGATCCTTCTGGTGCATGCACAAATTCCCTGCAAATATTTCTTCATCCTTGGTTGCTGTGCAGTAAAAGGTTAACTGAACAGGCCTAGGATGTTCAAACCCTGCACAATCCAAAGAAAGGACTGGCCCTTGCCCACCTCCTAGGAAATAACCTCTGAGCCCTTGGAATGTCCTGCCTGAAAAGACTGTCTTTGTAGACCTGGGGCCTCAGGCCACTCCGGATAGTTGATGATAACGATGTGATTTATGGCGGGGCTTTGGGTCACACTGGATCAGCTGGACCTCTGGAGGGGCTGCAATCTGAGAAATAATGTTGGCCACATGGACCCTCCATGCCTATGTGATGAAACCCCAGTAAAAACTCTAGACACCAAACTTTCAGTGAGCTTCCCTGGTTGGCAAAACTTCACGAGTGTTGTCACACGTCATTGCTGGGAAAATTAAGCACTGCCCACCTGACTCCCCTGGAAGAGGACAACTGGAAGCCTGCACCTGGTCTCTTCCAGACTCTCCTCTGCACCTTTGACATTTGCTGATGTTATCTGTATCCATTAACTGTAAGGAACCATAACCAGGAGTACAACAGCTTTTCTGAGTTCTGTGAATCCTCCTAAAAAATCATTGACTCAGAGGGTGGTCCTGTGGACCCCAACTCAGTGGTCTGCTCACATCTATGAGAGAGTCAGTTTGGTGACTTTGGTGCCCTGCAATATTGTCTGCAAGGAAGGGAAGCTACCTGTAGACTCCACAGAGTTAGGTGAGGCTTGTTGCTGGGCAGCAGGCAGACATGGAGGCTAAGAGCCCTCTAGATGGTCAAATCAGGCCAACATTTATTCTGTGGGTCCTGTAATGGATCATCACGTTTAACAGTAGATGACACAGTGCAAGACCCCCAATGGGGGTCTCAGTGAGGACTTGCTAATGTGCTTTCACGGGAGTCCTGGCTATGGGGCAGGTCCTTGGTCCTTCCTAGCGGAAGGAATGGGTAGAAAAGAGGGCAGCATGGGGGGCAGCCAGGTCCCCAGGGTCGCAGACAAGAAAGGGATCGTCTGGGTACACTGGCTCCTGGGCCATAACAAGGTACTTAGTTGGGGGACCGAGCTCCAGTAGAAGCTCAAAGCCGGGGCACTGTGACGTCCCAGGTTCCCAAATATCCCTTGGACCAGAGAGGTCAAGCTGAGGGAAGGGGGCGGCCAGGGTTCCCGTGGCTCCCTCTCCCCGAGGGGGCGCCCCAGCCGCGCCTTGGAGCTGGCGGAAGCAGAGGGGGCGCCAGGCGGCGGGAAGAAGAAGCCGTGGGCGCGCAGGTCAGGACGCTGCTGCTGGCGCAACTGTTGGTGCGGGTCGAAATCGCGAGGCAGGGTGAGCTGAGGCGGGGGCTGCCGGCGCAGCTAGGGGTGATGGGGGAAGGGTGGGGCGCGTGGAGACCAAAGGGAGCTCACTTTCTCTCCTACCCGCAGCGTTGCGGGATAGGGACCTGTTGCTTCCAGGTAAGGCGTCCAGGGGACGCGCTTCCCTGCGCAGGGCACCTGAGCCGGAGCGCGAATGGCGACTCATCTTTTCCTCTTCCCGCCCCAGGTTTCTAGAACTCTTCTATGCTCGCATGTAACTGATGGGGCCCCCCTGGGTGTGGGGGAGGGGCGGGCACCTGTGGACCACGTGGGGCAGGTCCCCAGCGTCCCCTTCTTCCTGGGCGGCAAGACCCCTGGACGCGCGGTTCCCCGGAGCGCCCCTTTTCTTCTCCCACTCGGTGGGTGAGGGTGGACGGGGTGGGCCTGCCTCCCGCAGCTCGGCCTGGTGTCCATTTGTCCATCCCAGGGCCATGTGGCCAACGGACTGTCCCGACACTCATAGTGTATGGAAAGGATGCAGGGCTTGGGCGCAGGGCAGCCTGCGCCTATGGGGCTCCCACTACTGCGGAGCAAGCCTGCTCAACCGCCGCTGGGTGCTCTCGGCCGCGCACTGCTTCCAAAAATGAGTCTGGGGGCGGGCGGCCCGCTGACCCCGGGCCCTGGGTCTGCACCAGGACCTGCGCGCATGCCCCACGTGGACACGGCCCTCGTGTGCTCCTGAGGCGCAGTCCCGGCTGCAGCCCGTTACGCACCCACGCGAGTCCCCCAGGGCGCTCCGGGAGGAAACGCTGTGCGGTTTCTACCAGAACGTTCTCCCAGAACTTTCCCACGCACATTTGTCTTGTTCTTTTCTTTCTCACGTCACTTGTCCCCAAATGGCACCACCAATCTCCACCTTCCTCACCCCACCTCCCAGCAGAGGTGACCCCTTCCCCCCCCCGCCCGCCGGGGGGAGGAATGAGCTGAAGTAAGTGCTGGACACACAGCCTGGCCTGTGGTGACAGTGGCCCCGGTAGCTGTTTTGAGCCCAGCCTGCTGTGGCGCCCATGCACCTGCTCGTTGCCTTTTGAGAAGGGTTCTTGGAGGTGACAGGTGGTTGAGTGACTGGCCAGATGAGCTGTTAGGGGAGGCACCCTCCTGCCAACACCCCCAAGTCCCCAGGTGTGGGACTTTGTTTGGGGCTGTCTGGGCTCTCCCCGTTTCTACCCTGGCCTCTTTGGTCGAAGGAAGACCTGCTAATGGTGCCTGGGGTGAGCCCCGCAGCAGCTCGGGGGTCTCAGCTCAGGGAGCAGCCCCAGGTGTGCTCAGGTGGCCCACCCTGACAGCTCTCTCCTCCCCTGCCAGCAACAGAGATCCCTATGAATGGTCGGTCCAGTTTGGCGAGCTGTCACACCACCCATTTGGAGCCTGCGGGCCTACCTCCATCGTTACAGGGTGAAGAGTATTATTATATACCCCAAATCCAGGAATTATTTGCAGGACGACAGCTCCCTGCTGAAGCTGTCCTCCTCCGTCACCTTCAATAAGCACATCCAGCCCATCTGTGTCCTGTCCTCCTCCTCTGAATTCAAGAACCGTGATGACTGCTGGGTGAATGGCTGGGGGGACATCCATGAGAAAAAGAGTGAGGTTGGGGACAGACGGGTTGGGAAGGGGAGTGTTATTCACCACGTCCTGTGCCAGCCACACCAGCTGCAGTGGCCCCCACCTTGATCTGTGTGCCACTGTGCTTTGGCTTTGGCCCGCTGAGCAATCCCTCCTCACCTCCTTTCCACACCCCGCCCCCCCGTAGAGCAGGGCTTTCTGTACCCACACTCAGCTACCCCTCCCTTCCGAGTCTGTGAGCCAGAAACCAGAGAGGGAGGCCCCCCTGCACCGGCCCAGGCCACACCCCCAGCCTGCAGGGGTGTGCGAGGTTTTGGGGTGGACTTGTCAGAAAGGCATCAGGCATTGTTTGTTTTTGGGGGTTTTTTGAAGCATACTTCAAAAACCATAAAATTCATCCTTTTAAAGTATACAATTCAGGGACTTCCCTGGTAGTCCAGTGGTTAAGACTCTTTCCACTGCAGGGGGTGTGGGTTCGATCTCTGGTTTGGGAACTAAGATCCCACACCCCGTGCGGTGCAGCCAAAAAAAAAAAGGCATACAATTCAGACGGTTTTTTTTTTTTAGTATATTCACAGAGTGGTTCCATCACCACTGTCTAATTACAGAACATTTTCATCATCTCAAAATGAAATCCCATGCTTATTAGCCGTTACTCCTAATTCCCCGTTGTTCTAGGGCCATAGCCCCTGGCAGCCACTAATCTGCTTTCTGTGTCTAATGGATTTACCTACTCTGGACGCTTCATATGAATACAGTTATATACTACGTGCTAGCTTCTCTCACTAAGCATAATATTTTCAATGTTCATTCATGTTTTAGTGTGTGTCAGTACTTCACTCCTTCTTTCTTGTTAAGGTTTAACTCATATAACATTAACCATTTTAAAGTATATAATTCAATGGCATTTAGAACATTCACAGTGCATAACCATCAACTCTATCAAGATCCAAAACATTTTCATCACGCCCAGAGGAAATCCCATAACCATTAACCAGTCACTCCCCATTACCCCCTCCCTCCAGCCCTTAGCAGCCACTAACCAACTTTTTGTCTCTATGGATTTACCTGTTCTGGACATTTCATATAAATGGAATCATACACTGTGTCACCTTTTATGTTTGGCTTCTTTCACTTAGCATAATGTTCTCAAGATTCATCCATATTATAGTATGTATGAAAACTTCATTCTCTTTTATGGCTGAATAATATTCCATTGTATGGATGCACAATTTGTTTATCCATTCCTCCATTGATGCCATTTGTGTTGTTTCCATCTTTTGGGTATTTGTATTAGTATACAAATTTGTGCTTGAATACCTCTTTTCAATTATTTTGTGAATGTATTTAGGAGTGCAATCCTGGATCACATGGTCATTCTATGTTTAACTTCTTGAGGAGCTGACAAACAGTGTTCCATAGCAGCTGCTCCATTTTACGTTCCTATCAACAGTGAGGGTTATCATTTCTCTCCATTCTCCTCAATAAAAAACTTGTTATTTTCCAGGTTTTTGTTTGTTTGTTTGTTTTGTTTTGTTTTGTTTTGGCCATCCTAGTGGGTGTGAAGTGGTATTTCACTGTGGTTTTGATTTGCATTTCTCTAATGACTAGTGATGTTGAGCAACTTTTCATGTGCTGGTTGGCCATTTGTATATCTTCTTTGGAGTAATGGCTATTTAAGTCCCTTACCCTTTTTTTTTTTTTTGGTCACACCACGTGGCTTGTGGAATCATAGTTCCCCAGCCTGGGATTGAAACTGGGCCCTCAGCAGTGAGAGCAGAGAGTCCTAACCACTGGACCTCCAGGGAATTCCCAACCCAATTTTTAAAATTTATTTATTTATTATTTTCTTTTTTTTTGCGGTACGCGGGCCTCTCACTGTTGTGGCCCCTCCCATTGCTGAGCACAGGCTGCGGACGCGCAGGCTCAGCGGCCATGGCTCACGGGCCTAGCCGCTCCGCGGCATGTGGGATCTTCCGAGACTGGGGCAGGAACCCGCGTCCCCTGCATCGGCAGGCGGACTTTCAACCACTGCGCTACCAGGGAAGCCCCCCAACCCATTTTTAAACTGAGTTGTCTTTGTTGTGATGTTGTAATCGTTTTTATATATTCTGGATACTAGACCCTTTTTAGATATATGATTTGCAAATATCTTTTCCTATTCTGTGGGGTTTTTTTTTCCTTTTTTCTTCTTTTTTTTTTTTAAACTGGCTCCTGGGTCTCACTCCATGGATTTAATTGGTCTGGGATGTGGCACAGACATTGGGATATTTTTAAGCGTCCCAGGTGATTCTAATATGTAGCTAAGGGTAAGACCAGCTGGCCTAATGGGGTTCATGATGCTTAGCCAAGTGATGCCAGGAAAGAGGCAATAATCTCCAGGAAAAGGACGAAGAGCTAAAGGTTTGAAAGTTGAAATGAAGACCTAGCTGAAGTTCTGCAGAACAGGTAGGCTTTAGTGTCAGAAAGTTGTGTTTTGAATCCTCTTACTTAACTCTTCAGTTTCTTCGAAAGAGGCATCATAGCTCCTTCCTTCCGGGTTGTTCCATGTTGTCAGTCCCTGGTGTTGATGGGGGAAGAGCACTTCAGATGCAGGACTGAGCCAAGACTCGTGGACCACATCTCTTTTCACTTTCATGATAGTATCTATTGATGCACAGAATATTTTAATTTTGATGAAGTTCAGATTATTTTTTATCTGGCGCTTTTGCTTTTGATATCATGTCTAAGAAATAATTGCCAAATTCGAGGTCATGAAGATTTACCCTCATGTTTTCTTGAAGAGTTTTATAGTTTTAGCTGTTATATGTATATCTTTGATTCTTTTTTTTTTTTTTTTTTTTTTGCGGTATGTGGGCCTCTCACTGTTGGGGCCTCTCCCGTTGCGGAGCACAGGCTCCGGACGCGCAGGCTCAGCGGCCATGGCTCACGGGCCCAGCCGCTCCGCGGCATGTGGGATCTTCCAGGACCGGGGCACGAACCTGTGTCCCCTGCATCAGCAGGCAGACTCTCTACCACTGCGCCACCAGGGAAGTCCTCTTTGATTCATTTTGAGTTGATCTTTGTTTATGGTGCGAAGTAGTGGGTCCAACTTCATTTTTTGCATTTGGATATCTAGTTGTCCCAGCACCATTTGTTAAAGAGACTATTCTCTACTCCACTGAATTATCTTGGCACCTTGTCAAAAATTAGTTGACCAAAGAAGAATGGGTTTATTTTCTAGACTCTCAATTCTGTTCCGTTTGTCTGTATGTTTATCCATTTGCCAGGACCCCATTGTTTGATTCCTATAGCTTCCAAGTATGTTTTGAAATTGGGAAGTGTGTATTCTCCAACTTTGTTTACTTTTTCAAATATTGGTTTTGTTATTTGGGGGTCTCTTGATAGTCCCTCTAAATGTTAGGATGAGCTTGTCAATTTCCACTAAAAAGGCTATTGGAATTTGGATAGGGATTGCATTGAATCTGTGGATTGCTTCGGGGGAGTATTATCATCTAAATAATATTAAGTCTCCAGTCCATAAACAGAAGATATGTTTCCATTTATTTATGTCTTCTTTAATTTCTTTCAGCAATGTTTTGTAGTTTTTTGTGTACAGGTCCTCAATTAAATTTAACTATTTCATTCTTTTTGATGCTATTGTAAAATGATATTTCTTTTCTAATATCCTTTTGAAATTGTTCATTGGTAGTGTATAGAAATATAATTGACTTTTGTGTCTTGATTTTAGATCCTGCAAATTTGCTGAATTCATTTATTAATTCTAGTCCTTCTTTGTGTACTCTTCATTATTTTCTATATATAAGATCATGTCTCCTGTGAATAGACATAGTTTTACTTCTTCCTTTCCAACTTGGATGTGTTTTATTTCCTTTTCTTGCCTAATTGCTCTGACTAGAACTTCCAGTAAAATGTTAGATAGAAGTGGCAAAAACTGGCATCATTATCTTTTTCCTGTTCTTAGGGGGAAAGCTTTCAGTCTTTCACAATTCTGTAGCTGTGGGTTTTTCACATATGATCTCTATCATGTTAAGGAAGTTCTCTCTATCCTTAGTTTATTGAGTGTTTTTATAATGAAAGTGTTGGATTTTCCTGCATCAATTAGGATAACCATGTGGGGTTTTTTTTCTCCTTCATTCTATTACTATAGTCTGTAGTATGTTATATTGATTGATTTTTGTATGTTGAACCCACCTTGCACTCTGGATAAATTTCACTCGGTCGTGGTGTAGAATTCTTTTAATATGCTGCTGGATTCAGTTTGCTGGTATTTTGTTGAGCATTTTTGCATATATGTTGGTCTGTAGTTTCTTTTTTTTTTTTTTTTTGCGGTACGCGGGCCTCTCACTGTTGTGGCCTCTCCCACTGCGGAGCACAGGCTCCGGACGCACAGGCCCAGCAGCCATGGCTCACGGGCCCAGCCACTCCACGGCATGTGGGATCTTCCCGGACGGGGCACGAACCCATCGGCAGGCGGACTCTCAACCACTGCGCCACCAGGGAAGCCCTATGGTTTCTTTTTGTGTGTGATAACTTGCTTGGGCTTTGGTGTCACAGTAATGCCAGTCTCATGGAATGAGTTAGGAAGTGTTCCTTCCTCTTCTGTTTTTTGGAAGAATGATTGACGTTAATTTCTTCCTATGTTTGATAGAAGTCACCATTTAAGGCCATCTGGCCCAAGGCTTTTCTTCATTGGGAGGTTTCTGACTAGTGACTAAATCTTTTTACTTGTTATGTGTCTGTTCAGATTTTCTACTTCTTCTTGAGTCTGTTTTAGTATTTTGTGTGTTCCTAGGAATTTGTCCATTTCCTCTAGGTTATCTAATTTGTTGGAATACAGTTGTTCATAATATTCACTTATAGTCCTTAATTTTTCTTTAAGGTCAGTAATAATGTCCCCACTTTCATTGTCAATTTTGTTGATCTTTCAAAGAACCAACTTTTGGTTTTGTTGATTTTCGCTATTGTTTTTCCCTAGTTTGATTTTTTTCCATTCCTCTCTTTATTATTTCCTTCCTTCTTCTACCTTTGGGTTTAATTTGCTCTTTTTTTTTCTAGTTCCTTAAGTTAGATTGTTGATTTGAGATTTTTCTCCTTTATTAACATAGGCATTTCCAGCTATAAATTTCCTTGTGAGAATTGCTTTTGCTGCAACCAATAAGTTTTGGTATGTTGTGTTTTTATTTCCATTCATCTCAAAATACTTTCTAATTTTCCTTGTGATTTCTTCTTTGACCCATTGGTTAGAAGTATGTTGTTTAATTTCCACGTATTTGTGAATTTTTCAGTTTTCCTTCTGTTATTGATTTCTAGCCTCAATCCACTGTTTTCTATGATGTCAATCTTTTCTAATTTATTGCAACTTATTTTGTGGCCTGACATGTCATCTATCTTGGAGAATGTTTTGCATCCACTTGAAAGGAATGTGTATTCTGCTCTTGTTTGGGTGGATTGTTCTGTATATGTCTTTTAGGTCTAGCTGCTTTATAATGCTATTCAAGTCCTCTGTTATCTTACTGATCTTCTCTCTGGTTGTTCTATCCATTAATAAAAGTGGGGCATTGAAGTCTCCAACTGTTCTCATAGAACTGTCTATTTCTCCCACCAGTTACATCAATTTTGCTTCATGTATTTTGGGACTCAGTTGTTAGATGTGTAGATATTTATAATTATTATACCTTGAGGACTTACCACTTTTGTCAACATATAATGTCCTTCTTTGACTCTTTTTAAAAATATTTATTTAGTTTTTTTTAATTTATTTTGGCTGCACTGGGTCTTAGTTGCAGCATGCAGGATCTTCATTGCGTCATGCGGGATACTTAGTTGCGGCATGTGGAATTTCTTAGTTGTGGCATGCAGACTTCTAAGTTGCGACATGCAGACTCTTAAGTTGCAGCATGCATGTGGGATCTAGTTCCCTGACCAGGGATCAAACCCAGGCACCCTGCATTGGGAGCACAGAGTTTTACCTGCTGGACCACCAGGGAAGTCCCCCTTCTTTGACTCTTGTAACATGTTTTGACTGAAAATCCATTTTGTCTGACATTAGTATAGCAACCTCAGCTCTTTTTGGTTACTATTTGCATGGAATGTCTTTTTCCAACCTTTCACTTTAAACCTATATTTACCTTTGGATCTAAAATTATTGTCGGGCTTCCCTGGTGGTGCAGTGGTTAAGAATCTGCCTGCCAATGCACGGAACACAGGTTTGAGCCCTGGTCTGGGAAGATCCCACATGCCGCGGAGCAACTAAGCCCATGCGCCACGACTACTGAGCCTGCACTCTAGAGCCCACGAGCCACAACTGCTGAGCCCATGTGCCACAACTACTGAAGACTGTGCACCTAGAGCCTGTGCTCTGCAGCAAGATAAACCACGCAATGAGAAGCCTGTGCACCACAACAGAGTGGCCCCCGCTTGCCACAACTAGAGAAAGCTTGCATGCAACAACGAAGACCCAACGCAGCCAAAAATAATAAATAAATAAATTTTAAAAAATATAAAAATTAAAATATAATAAAATTATTGTCTTGTAGACAGGATATAGTTGGATCTCTGTTTTTAATCCATTCTGCCAATCTCTTCCTTTTAATTGGAGTGTTTAATAGTTACATTAAAATTAATTACTGATAGGGAAGGATTTACTTCTACCATTATTCAATTTGTTTTCTATATTTTGTCGGATGTGGAAGATATAGATATCTTATATCTATATCATATCTATATCTATACCTAAGTCATATCTTTTTTGTTCCTTATTTCCTCCTTTTTGTGTTTAATTGATTTTTATTAGTGTACTGTATTGATTTCCTTCTTATTTCCTGTTCTGTATATTTTTTAGTTATTTTCTCAGCAGTTTCCCTAGAGATTACAGTTAATAACTTAAACTTATACCAGTCTATTTTGAATTAATATCAACTTAGGTTCAATAGCATACAAAAGTTCTGTTCCTATACAACTCTATTCTTCTCAAGTTGTTATTGTCACAGTTTACATCTTTATATATTGTGTAACCATATCTTTATATATTGTGTAAGCAATCTCTGTGTAACAGAGATTTACAATTATTGTCTTTTAAATTGCATTTGTCTTTTAAATTGTATAGCAAAAAAAGTATGAACCAAAACTATAATAATACTGGCTTGTATGTTTACCTGTGTAGTTACATTTACCAGTGTTCTCTATTTCTTCCTATGGGTATAAGTTACTGGCTACTGCCCTTTCATTTCATCCTGAAGGGCTCCCTTTTCCATTTCTTGTAGGGCAGGCCTACTAATGATGAACACTCTCAGCATTTGCTTATCTGGGAATATCTTAATCTTGCCTTCATTTTTTTTGAAGGATAGCTTTGTCTGATCTAGAATTCTTGGTTGACTGTTTTAGTCTCTTAGCACTTTACATATGTCATTGCACTGCCTTTTGGCCTCCAGGGTGTCTGAAAAGAATGTGGCTGTCAATCTTGTTGAAGATCCCCTATACTTGATGTGTAGCTTCTCTCTCGCTGTTTACAAGATTCTCCTTTTGTCTTTGCATTTTGATATTTTGATGAAAATGTATCTCAGTGTGGATCTCCTTGTGTTTATCCTACTTGGAATTTGTTCACCTTCCTGAATGTGTAGTTTCATATCTTTCATCAAATTTGGGAAAACTTCAGCCTGGATCCTGCAGCTATACTAATTATAAACAGGCTCAGCTGCATCAGCCCCTCCCCCTGTGTATGCTTCAGCCATGGTCTCTCCCCACTGGCTCAGGCAGGGCCTGTCATCTGCAGGCTACAGAGAGGGAAACCAAGCCTCAGGGAGGTGCTGTGACAGCCTGTCCATCCATTGGGTCCTTCTGTGATATTGTTCATCACCCACCACATACTGGGTGCTGGACTAGAGCAGAGGAATCAAGAGCAATGTCCCAGGTACTGTGGATACTCCAGGAAGTCCACTCCCCTTCATACCCCCTTTCCCCAGATGGCAGAGGAGAGGCTAAGGTTGTTGTCTTTCTCTCTCCCACCCTCAACCCCTGGCAGATCTGCCACCTCCCTACGATCTTCAGGAAGTGCAAGTCTCCATCATAAACAAATCCAGGTGTTCCTACCTGTTCCATCAGCCTGATTACAGCAGTCACAGCAGTAATAATATGATTTGTCCTGGCTCTGAGGATGGCAACACTGACGCCTGCAAAGTGAGTACCCCTGCCCCAATGAGGGCCATACTGAAACTGGGTACCACCCCTCCCAATCTTGGGCCTGAGAGCAACCACCTTGACCCCCTACCAATCCACCCTTAGAGTTCATTCATGAGAAAATCATTGTAGACCTCATTTATCCAGCCTATAAAACAAGCTTCCTGTTTTACATTAATTGTACCTCCTTTGATCCTATGTGAAATTGAGTGGATAGACTATTGCCCCCCTTTGCAGATGCAGAAACTGAAGTTTTTTTGCTTCCAGGGGGAGGAGTGGGATTTGCAGCCAATCTGCCCAGCTCCACAGCCCCTCCTGCTCTACCAGCCTCTCCACTGGCCCCTCCTGCCCCATCCCAGGTCTTGCTCACCCACACTGCTTTCCAGGGTGACCCAGGCAGACCCTTGGTCTGTGAAAAGAATGGGCCGTGGATTCAGATTGGAATTGTGAGCTGGGGAGTGGGCTGTGGTAGGCGCAACCAGGCCGGCATCTATACCAATGTCAGTAGTTACTTCAACTGGATCCAGATGCTGGTGGGCCACAGCACACCCAGGCCAGACCCCTCTCAGTTGCTGCTGCCCCTCGCTCTGCTCTGGGCTCCCTGACTCCTGTAGCTGGCCTGTGCACACCTAAGCCCATGAGGGTGCAGTAGTTACTGCAGCTCCAGACATATTCACCAAGGGCTAGGGGCACGCCAGTGGCAGGACTGCCTGCTGGACCAGGCCCAGTCCCCTTCTGTCCCCTTTGCTAATAAACGTGTGTATGTTCACATTGATGCCTTGCACCATGTTCTATGGCCCTGGGTGGATTCCTGGATACCCTCACAGTTACCCATGTCCCATCCACTCGAAGACCACTCCTTAACTCCTAAACCATCGTCACCCATCTGTGCTATACGGGTTTTGGTTGCAAACAACAGAACCCTCTCAGGTTAGTTCAATCAGAAAGATAATTTACAGGGATTTCCCTGGTGGTCTGGTGGTTAAGACTCTGTGCTCCCAATATAGGGGCCCAGGTTCAATCCCTGGTCAGGGAACTAGAACACTCATGCCGCAGCTAAAGATATCCTGCAACAAAGATCCCGTGTGCTGCAACTAAGACCCGGCTCAGCCAAATAAATATTTAAAAAAAAGAAAGATAATTTACAGAAGGACATAAGTAGCAACAGGGTCCCTGGGGGCTAGGAAGGCTGGAGTGGAGTGCAGGGGAGGAAATGCCCCCAAACACCCCTAGCGCTCATGCCGTGTTCCCCACCACACAGACGCCAGACACTCCTGGTCTCACCACGGTCCCCCAAAGGCTGACCTGGGACCAGGACGAGGGTGCAGATAATTTATTTGGGAGGTGATACCAAGAAGCCCCAGTGAAGAGTGGGGGAACTGAGGCAGGAGGGCTGAGAGCCAATGACGTTTGCCCAGATGAGGAGGTTACCCTTGTGGGCAGCTGAGGCTCTGTCTGGCCAGGATCCCCTGAGAAATCACGGGGACACACCTCAGCATTGCCTGTGGGGGACAAGGACCTGGCATGGCCCTTTCTCTCCTGACTCCCCGTGGTTGAGGCTTGTCCTGGGGGTGTGGGGGCTCCAAGCTCCATAGGTGGCCTGGGTGGAGGGGCAGCATCAAGCGTGTCTCCCCCGAGCCTCAGCATGGCCAAGGGACCAGGCCAGCGGGGCCGACTTGGGCTGCTTGGAACTGCTCGGGCAGATCTGCGTTTTCATGAGATCCAGAGGTGCTATGAGAGCAGAAGGTATGAGAAGTTCTGGTCGATTGACAGCTTGTCTCTGTGAAGAAGCAGGTGGAGGAGTCTTGGGAGGGTGCCCTCCTCGCCTCTGCCCACCAGGACAGCCACACAGGCTGTAGGACACCACGCTCAGGCTTCATGCCCCTCGGCAGCCCTGCAAGGCTGGAGCTTCTCTTCCCCCTCATCACAGTGAGGAAACTGAGGCCCAGCAAGGTGACAGAACTATTCAAGTCACTCAGCTCACAAGGGCCTGTGTCCACCTCTCACTGCATGGCCTGACTCAGAGGGGCCAGCAGGTACCGGGCAGGTGGGGTCTCCCAGGTCTCCTGTAAGACTCACCTGCATTGAGATTTCCACTCCCCCCATCTGCCCTCCCCAACAGCCAAAACCTGAGGGTGCCCCCACTCACCTCCCACAAAGGCCCTCTGAGTTGACCCAAGCAGAACACTCACTGCCCTGGTGTCCCATGTGTTACTGGAAGACAGTGTGATTTAATGCCCATTAAGCGCTTGGCCCCAGACCGGCCATGCTGTGACACTGCCCTGCAGGCCTGCTTGGACATTGCCCCTCCTCCAGCGCAGGCAGAGTAGCCTCTGGTGGCCCAGTGCCCATGTGACAGACTCATCCACAGAAATACTTTCAAGCCTGCCCAGGTGCACGTCCCACGTCCACCCATAGGGTCCTGTTCAGGGTCACCTACCCAGAGGCTCAAGAGGACTCCAGCCAGGTGCCACGGCATGCCCCTCCCCCTGGCCTGGCTCACCCCACACCTTTGTTCCCCTTCAGGCTGCTTTAGATGACCCCTGGTTGTTGGGTCAGCATGGTGTGGGGTCTGGCTGTGGCCGTCCCAAAGGGCCCAGCTTCTGCTGGGACATCAGTGAGCATACCACCTGGATCCTGGAAAGGCCACCCCGTCCCACCTCCTCCTGCTGCCAGGTCTACAGGGTGCCCCTGGGATCTGGCCAAGGGTAGGGCTGGGCCCTCGTCAGAGATGAGTCCTGTGCTGCAGATGGTGGGCTGGGCACCGCCATACTGAAACACACTGGCAGGGCAGCCAGCTCAGGGGGCACATCCCCTGCACCTTTGTTGAACTGTTATTTTGTTTTCATCCTTGGCATTTAAAGACTTTGGTTGTAAGCAAAAGAATCCCCTAGTACCAGCATGAGTGAAGGAGAGTTGCTTTAGAAGGATAAAGAACAGCCCACCAAGGGCAAGGATGACTGGAATGAGGAGCTCCAGCTTCACAGGACACTCTTTCTCAGCCTGGAAGGTTGCAGGCTCTCAGGCCAGCTGAGAGTCCTCGCCAGTGGCTGCAGCTATGGCTGCCCCCTGCCTGGGCCCCAAGGGGTCCTCTCTCCCTCCTCCAGGATAAAAATCCCAGGGAGGGATTCTGATTGGCTGGTCTGGGGTCATGTGTCACCTCTTGATCAATCACTGTGACCTGGAGGACATGGTGGGATGATGGCCCCCGTTTGGGTCATTTGCCCTCCCCTGGGAGTGGGGACAGGTCCAGCACCAGAAAAACGTGGGGTTGACTCAGCTATGGCCCTGAGAAGGATAGTTGTGAGAAGGGCAAGTAGATGGCATTTGCTGAGGGGCCATTTCTGCAGTGTGACTCAAGGGTGGGACTGAAGGGCATGTGGGCCCAGCAGGGGTCTGTGCCTCAGTTTCTCAATCTGAGACAGGGGCTGGGTTGGGGTGAGCCCCTGGAGCGAGGTTCCTTTCCTACTCCTCTCAGCTTTGATTGTCCAATATTCAATCAGTACCAGATCCTCCCACCATAAGCCAGTTTCTCAGTGGGAATTTGTTTCCTGGTCCCTGCACGCAGGTGTCTGTCCTCCAGGCTTCCCGCCTCACCTAAATTGCAACAGGCAGACACGCAGCTCCTTCCATCCCGCCTTCCAGTGAACTCCCTTCTCAAGGTTTGGCCCATATCTCCAGAGATAGCTGTGTGTTCCCAGGGTCCCTGGTCACTCTTACTCCCACCTGCCTCTCCAGCCGCCCCAACTCTGCACCAAGGGGAACACTGCCCACCTGGCTCCATTCCTGCCAAGCCCTCTAATGGCAGCTGAATCCGGGGTAACGAAAGGTCAGGAGCCTTGGGGAAGGTGCTTCTTTTATTCTTGTGGCACTTCTATAGCATTTACATCAGCCAGGCACTATTCCAAGCTCTGCGTGGGCTAACCCAGTTAATCTTCACAACCACCTGGGAGGCGGGTTTTACAGAAGAGGAAACTCTCCCAAGGTCTCAGGGCTGGAGGGAGGGCATTCCACAAGCCGACTCCGGAGTCCTTGAGCCTGGGCTTGAGCCTGCTCCTAGAGTGTGGACAGCAGAGGTCAGGCCTGAGGCTGCCCTCCCTCACTTCGAGTGGAGGGGCTGGGGCTGGGGCCGGTTGGCCTCTAGATCCCCTCGTTCATATCCTTCACCCTCACTCCCGGCATGATGCCCTGCTGGCCCCTTTCACTCCCAAAGACTCAGTGCCCACTCTGTGCTGGGCACTGTTCAGGCCATGGGGGACTGGTATGCACTGAATGTCTGTGTCCTCTCCAAAATTTATATGTTGAAGCCTTAACCCCCCAATGTGACTGTCTGTGGAAGTAATTAAGGTTAAATGAAGTCTTAAGGGTGGGCTCTGATCCGATAGGATTAATGTCCTTCTAAAAACAGACACCAGCACCCCCCCGCAATGCCCAGCAGACATAAAGAGGAGGCCGTGTGATCACACAGTGACATGCCAGCCACCAACAAGCCAAGAGAAGAGGCCTCAGAGGGAAACCCATCTTGCCAGTTCCTTGTTCTTGGACTTCCAGCCTCCAGAATGGTGAGAAATAAGCTGTGTTTAATCTCCCCAGTCTGTGGTGTTCTGTTCTGGCAGCCTGAGCTAAGACAGGGACAGAGACCCAGACCCTGCCTCATGGAGGGAGGACAAACAAATCAAACCTCCTCTATCACACATCAACTCCCACTGTGATGTGGCAGAGGAGGAGGTGTGCTGGGCAGGAAGGCCCCCAGGAGGAAGAACCAAGTGGAGGGCTGCTGGATGACTTGGTAGAAGGAGGTTCCAGAGCCTTCTGGGAAGTGGGCACAGTCCAGGCCCAGCCCACCGACTGAGCCCTGTCTCCAGCATCTCCCAGCCTCACCCGAGACCGGCAGCCTTGCTGTCCTGGCCACCCCAAATTGAAGAGGAGACTGTTTCCAAAGGTCAAGTCTGCTCCTGCCTCTAGGGTTAAGCGAGGAGAGCTGCCAGGTTTAAACAAGATATTCATAAGACATTCATTCCCCACCCCCCACAAAAAAACTGTGCAGAGCTGGGGCTGGGAGGGTCTATGCAAGGCCTGAAGCCTGGGCTCTGTATGAGGCTGTCCCGGCCAGGATTTCTGGACAGAACAATGCTGTTCAGAAGCCCCAGTGACTGAGCACTGCAAGGAGCCAGGAGGCAGGATCAGGTTCAGAGATGAGTGGCCAAGGATCCTCTGGAGCTTTGTGGCCTGACCAAAACAACCCCGACCCCCGTTCATCCCCACCCCACATCGCCCCCCACATTGCCTGGCTGGGCACAGGCTCCCGCCCCCAGTTCTGTGCACCTTGGCCCAAGCCAGGTTTCCTTTGAGAAATCCAGGTGTCCCTTTCCTGCCACCTCAAAAGCACTGTTCAAAGCATCTTTGTTCAAGGCTGGGCTGATGAAGCCACAGCCCCGCCCTGACCTCCTTAATTACCTCCTGGCCAGGCCCCCACCCCCTTCTGGGTCTTTAAGCCCCCAGGTTGTCCCCCAGCCCAGTTAGCAAGGAGGACACCAGCTGCAAGAGTGAGAACAGAATCCAGGGGCTGTGGGGTCTAGGGGTGGGGGGCACGCAGGAGCAGCTGTCAGGCAATGGAAATACAAGATGGGGGAGGGGCTGGGGTCCAGGGCTTGTATCGAGACCTAAGGTGGCCAAATCTCACAGTGGGTGGGGGGCAGGGGTGGTCTCTGGGGCCTGGGCATAGGGCATAGAGCCTGGGCCACAGGGCTAGGCCTGGGACCAACCAGGGTCTAAAGGAAGATAAAAGGGCCTCTGGGGGGGCTAGATCCTCCTCTTCTCTCTTCAGGTTCCAACCAGAGGGCACCCTCATTCCTAATCTCTGACCTCCCTCCCCTCACCCTGTTATCTGACACCAAACCCATAATCCAGTCCCTTCCGTGCTTCCTCCTCCAGTGTGCCAACCCCCCTCCACTCCCCCCACCCCCCCCAACCTTAGCCCTGTGTCTCCCTGCCCTCATCCTCCTCCGAGTTCCCTGCTCCTCTGCTCACCCTTGAGTTCCCCTTGTCCTCCCACAGCCTGCGGGCAGCCTCACGTGTCAAGTCTCATCGTGGGGGACCGGGACACCCAGGACGGAGAGTGGCCGAGGCAGGCGAGCATCCAGCACCGCGGGGCACGTGTGTGTGTGTGTGTGTGTGTGTGTGTGTGTGTGTGTGTGGGCTCGCTCATCGCCCCCCAGTGGGTGCTGATGGCAGCACACTGCTTCCTGAGGTGAGCAGGCAGCCCAGGCTTGGACAAGGGGCACTCCCCTACTCTGAGGGCTCAACGTCGAAGGGGGCAGGGGCGGGTGGAGCAAGACCCACGGAACGGGGCGTGCCACTTGGTGGAAGCATGGTCCCCAGGCTTTGAGTGAGAGGGTGGCGGGGATGGGGGCCCTACTGGGGGTGGAGAAGGAGCTGCTTTAACTAGACCCACCACTGTCATGCCGGAGGGCGCTGCCATCTGAGTACCCCGTGCGCCTCGGGGCACTGCACCTGTGTCCTGCCTCGCCCCACGTTCTCTTGGTGCCCGTGCAGAGGGTGCTGCTGCCCCCGGACTACTCAGAGGACGGGACCCGAGGAGACCTGGCGTTGCTGCAGCTTCGCCGCCTAGTGCCCTTGAGCACATGAGTCCAGCCCATCTGCCTGCCTGAGCCTGGGCGTTGCCCACCACCAGGCACACCATGCTGGGTCACTGGCTAGGGCAGCCTCCACTCAGGAGGTGAGGCAGAGGGCGGGGCACTGGGGCATTGGGGCCGGACAGGCGATCTCTCTCCACCTCTCTCTGATCGGGAATCCCAGCCCCTCACTGCCCCAATCCAGGACCCACCGTGACCTCCAGGGACCCAAACATCCTCACAGTTTTTCCACCTCACTGTCTCCCAGCTCTTAGAAGTCCCCCCTTCTTCTCCAGTGCCACTCCCAGAGTGGCGACCTCTGCAGGGAGTACGGGTGCCACTGCTGGGTACTCACACCTGTGACCTCCTCTACTACATGGGCACCAACATTCCTCGTGCCAAGCACATAGTGCTGCCAGGGAACCTGTGCACCGGCTATGTCGAGGGCCAGAAGGATGCCTGCCAGGTGCGAGAAGCTGCCTGGAAACTCTGGAGTCCATGCTGCTATGGCCAGCACCCTACCTCCTTAGAACCCAGGACCTAGGAGGTACCACCTCCAGGGCTCAGTGTCCTGGACCCCAACCCAGAGGCACCACCTGGGGGATTGCAGCCCTGGGACCCAAAGTCTCTGGAGGGCTGGGACCTAAGCTCTTCTTTCTCCTGCAGCGTGACTCTGGAGGACCCCTGACCTGTATGAGGTCTGGGCGTTGGGTCCTAGTGGGTGTGGTGAGCTGGGGCAAGGGCTGTGCCCTGCCCAACCGTCCAGGTGTCTATACCAATATGGCTACTTACAGCCCTTGGATTCAGGCTCGCCTCAGCCTCTGATGCAGTGACACTGACCTGAAGCCAGACTCTGGAGTCCCTCAGCTGCCTGGTCTGTGTGGGGATCTACGCATCCCCCCACCCTGCCCCTTCTGACTTAGGGCTTAGAGGCCTAATAAAGTTAAGGGGCCATCCACCCACCCATTCATCTGTCTATCCCCTGCCTCCTCCTTGGGGCTCACCAAACCCAAGCTGCCAACCCTCCTCCAGGAGCCTCCCGAGTGTCCCAGGGTCTCACACTCCCTCCCTTCCCTTCCTGCTCATATTTAACCCCCTGAGCTCCAGTCAGACAGGCAAGTGAGTCAGTGCTAGGTCTGGTCTGTGTGCCCTTCTTTTCTGGAAGAAGTCAGAGAAACTCAAATATGAGAGGAATTCAACACCAAGGAAATGACTGTCCATTGCTAGCTTTGAAGATGGAGGGGCCACGTGGCAAGGAGCTGATGAAAGCCCCTGGCTGACAGCCAGCAGGGAAAGGGACGCCTCAGCACTACTACTGCAAAGAACCGAATTTGGCCAATAACCAGAACAAGCTTGGAAGCCAACTCTACTCCCAGCCTCCAGATGAGAACCCTGACAGGCCAAGCCCTTGATTTCAGCCCGGTGAGATCCTAAGCAGAGAACCCAGTTTAGCCCACCCACAGAGTAGTGATTTAATAAATTAGTGTTTAAGTTGCTATGTTTGCAGTCATCTGCTACACAGCAATAGAAAACTCAAATAGATTTTGCCCCACTGCAGTGAAAGTGCCCCAGGAGGCAGATGGCCAGCCACCAGGCCTGGCCTTCCCATGAATTCTAAGGTCTTAGGAGTTTGGGGCACCTGACATCATGCCCTCTGCCAAGAGGAGACAGGAGCCCCCAGATAGGCCTGGCCATAGCTTCTGATATCCTTGTTTTTTCTGCCACTGCCCCCATCCATGCCCTGGATGAGTCTGAGGCTGTGTCCTAGCCTTGGCCAGGCCCCCAGGCCCAGGACCGCCCCCTTCCCCCACCTGCATCTGGAGACCGGCCTAGGCCCTTTCAACTCCCTGACCACCCTCATGTGCTGGGACCTGGTGTCCCATCCCCTCTCTGCCATCTCCTCATCCCCAGGCCAAGGATCATCCATCCCTATAGACAGAGCTCAGTTTCTAGAACAGCAGAAAGAACAAGAACCGGAACAAAACCTGGAAACTCTGAAGCCCCCCTTTGGAGCTGACGGGGCAGTCGGGAAAGGGGGGACAGGGGAAGCTATCATTGAAGGGGCAGTCTGGCTGGGCAGGACCAAGTGCAGCTGCCGCCACGCAGGCCTGAGCTTCGTCTCCCTCCCTTCTTTCCTCCCAGGGGAAAAAGTGGCTGCAGCACGTGGTCACTGCTGGGCCAAGCCAGGCTGGGAGGGTGGGGCTGTGGACTGGGCAGTGAGCGAGCTCCGGGCTGCTGTCTCCCCTAGGCTGAGGGCCGTCTACTGGCTGCCCCTGGTGGGGTCACTGGGGACCAGGGTACCCAGAACAGGGCATGGCTGTGGCAGGCCAGGCAAAAGGCTGTGGGCACATCTGCGGTGGGACCCTGGCCGCCCCTGATGGGTGATGCTGGCCATCCTCCCATCCCGCCCTCAGCCGGGGGCCAGCCCAGAGAACTTCCTCAAGATGCCTCCCAAAGTACTGAGACCAGAAAAAGCCAAGGATGCCTCAGTCTTGGACCTGCCGTGATTAGAGTAATGGATCCCCATTCAGAGCCCAGTGTTTCTTTTCTTTCTTTCTTTGGCTGTGCTGGTTCTTAGTTAAGGCTCACGGAATCTTCGTTGCAGCATGCAGGATCTTTAGTTGCGGCATGCAGGATCTAGTTCCCTGACTGGGGATCGAACCCGGGCCCTCTGCATTGGGAGCGTGGAGTCTTAACTGCTGGACCACCAGGGAAGTCCCAGAGCCAAGTGTTTCTGAAGCATAAGGTGAGAGCTAAGCAGGGGTGTCCTAGAAGTGGAGAGGGCGGGCTGCCCACGGAAGGGAATGAGCAGAAATCTGCTACTCGTTAAACCCTCACCAGACACGGTGCAGAGAGCTCTACTGCACCATCTCATGAGATTCTCACTAGACACTCTGTGAGGGGGGTTTCCCCATTTGTCAGATGAGAAAACAGGCCTAAAGGCATACAGCTGGTAGACGGTAGACTGTGATTTGAACCCAGGTGGTCTGATTCTGGAGGCAGCTGGGGGTGGTAAAGAGGGTATTACCACCTTGGTTCTCTCCACTTCCACTCCAACAGTGTGGCCTCCAGGCCTGCCTCCTCTCTGCTTGTTCCTGTTGTGGCAGCCTCACAGGGCTGGACAAGCTACAGCTCTACTCTGTCCAGCAGGCTCAGTGGCACGGCACCCTGTGCTGCTGCATCCCGCCTGTCAGCAAGGTCATTGGGCCTGGAGCTGGGGCGGGGCAGGGGGGGCGCCGGCAGTGGTGGCGGGGTATGGACCTGGCCCTGCATCAGTAGCATCCTGCCCCTGGCCTCACAACGGTTGCCTGATGTGCCAGGAGGGAGGCCCTGGGGCGGCGAGGATAGTCCTCAGAACCCACCGGGGACAGGACATCAGGCTCCTGTCCAAGCAAGCATTCTCTAGCTGCTCACCTGCTCCAGTTGGTAGAGCTGCAGCCAGATGGCCCAGCCTCTCCCAGGAGTACTGACTCAACCTCAGTTTCCCCATCTACAATCTGAACTGGTAACACGAACCCTATCATGGCTGTAGGGAGAGTCAAAATGACTCAGTTCTGCCCAGCGAGCACGCAGGCTGAGCCAGGCACTGGCGGGCTCTCAGCTGATCTCTGAACACCTGTGAGGTGTTCCCATTTCACGAATGGGGAAACAGGACCAGAAAGGCTAGGTAATATGCCCTAAGACCCACAGCAGGCAAGAGGTGGAACCAGATTTGAATCTGGGCGACTGACTCTAATTCCACACTGAATTGTCACTTCCCTCATAGAAATGAAACCAGTTGTATGACACAACTAGAGGCACACTAGTAACGAGTGATGATTGACAATTACTGTTTATTAATCAACACTTTAAAAAGTTTAAGTAGACCAAAGGAGAAGTCCCACCAGGTTGATACCCTACAGGCTTAGTTTGGAGGCCGGGGAGGGTCTCTATCATGAGCGCTGGGTGGTTGAGGCCACAGGGCAGAATGGGCCCAGGAGGACTTCCTGTGCAGAGAAGCAAGAGCAGCTGGCCAGCTGGCTCACCCACCATCTTAAGACTCCCATTTTGTCTGTCATGGCCCCCAGGAAGGAGGGCCTGCACCCAGCTAGACCACAGAACTGGGTGGCTGGGGGCTCAGCCCCTGCTCCTCCTTCAAACTTCTCCTGACCCCATTCCCACTGCAGGAGGTGTCACTGTACTCACTGACACGAGGACTGCAGTTACCTCCTGCAACCGACCCACCCACCATAGCACAATGGGGTGCACAGAGATCCCATCTGAGGGAAAGGGCTGCCTTGAGGCACAGGTGTGGAGGAGTCCCAGGAAGGAAAGGGACTTCAAAGGACTCCTGAGGAGCCAGAGGCCAGAAGTCAAAAATGATAACTATAGCTATAGTTTAGGAAACATCTATTGAGTGCTAACTCTTGGTGATGTTACCGGCAAACTGGGTTTGCTTCTTGGTGAGTGTCAAGCGAAAAGACCACAACCAAGCCAAAGATGGGGAGAAGGAAGGATTTATTATTATTTGCAGCAAGTGAAGAGAACACCAGGGATCTTTCCCAAAGCAGTGTCTTCCCGAACAGCAAAATTGGGGGAATTTTAGGCTAAGGGTACATGGATATTCATGAAAGGGCTTGCAATGAGGCCAGGCTTAGATCACAAAGTGGCTTAGGCCAAAAATGGCTTCTCTTCTGTCAAGAAAACCATGCTGGGTTCTCTCTCCAGGGACCCCCCCCCCACCATCTGCTTACACCAAGGCTCCGCAAACTTTACAAACAGTTATTCTCCAATCTCAGAGAGGGGGAAACTGGGCCTTGGTGAGGTTAACTGCCCAAGGCTGCACACTCAGTGCCAGAGCAAGGATTTGAATCCCAGCAGGTCTGAGCCCAGAGCCTGCATGGCTAGCCACCAGCTTGATTCAGGGCCAAGGCAGCATCATCTTCAGATTCCACCCACTCCAAAGAACCTCAAATTGTGGCCTCAACAACTGCTGAGCTGTTCAGCATCCAGGGTCACCACTGGCTCATCTCTCATTGGGTGCCACGGCATGCCTTCTCTGGCACGTGCCAGCAATGACTCAGCTGAGGTTCTCCCTCTCCCTGGGAGAGGTTGAAAAAGCCTCCTTCTCTTGCTCTAGTATAACTGCAATTTGGGGCGATGCAGGAGAGCATCCAACTACCAAGGAGGGAGGCCTAGGCTGTCAGTAGGTACGAAGGGCAGCCAGAGAGGGAAACCAAGTCCACAGGCCCTTCTGGAGCCTGAGTGGACCTGGGCAGAAAGGCGGGCAGTTGCCCAGGGCACCCTCCTCCTGGGAAGCGTGAACACCAACTTTGGCTATGCATGCTGCTTCTTCCGAGGATGTTTGCCAGGCCTTGTTATCAAATGGGGGTCCTGCTGCTTGCTGCTCACAATCAATTGCATACTCACAAATGTTGGTGGCAAAGGTGCTTTTAATCAGAATGCCAACAATCTGGGGAGATGGTAGACTCGGCATCCCCCAAAAACCACCTCCACAGATTGTGCTCGGCCATGAAACTTTTAAAGGGCAGAAGGGAAGTAATCTCAGTTAATTGTTGAGATAGCGGGTCAGAATTATTGCCATCCCTCCACTGCATGCAGGCTGGTTAACTTCTTGGGTTCTTCCTCTAGATGTTATCTTGTTCACACAGTTTGGTCACACAGTTTGTTCAGGTTACTGAAGGGAAAGCTAGGGAAGAGATCTGGTCATCTGTTAAATACTTGCTCATTGTTCTAAAGAACCAACTAGTTTGGCAAGGTATTGTGTAATTAAAAGATTTGAAAGGTGTGCTTGGGCCAGAGATGGGTAGGTAGAACATGGGGTGGGTGGAGGGGCAGTGCCTGGTTTAAAAGTTAGTTACAGGGACTTCCCTGGTGGGCCAGTGGTTAAGAATCCACCTTCCAACGCAGGGGGGCAGGGGGTTGGATCCCTAGTCAGGGGAATTAAGTTTCCACGTGGTGAGCAGTATGCCCCCCCCCCCCAAAAAAGTTAGTTACAACATAGCTTTGCTAAAGTGACAAGAAAAGGGGCTTCCTGCTGAGGGCAGTTTCCTGCAAAGAGCTGCTTACACACTCCCTAACCCCAAAAGCAGCTTCCAAGGATTCTTACAGGCCCTAAAGCCTCGGTAAACTGGTTTAAATAATCCTTACAGCAAGGCTAGGGCAGGGACATGGGGCTGTTTCCTGATACGGCGGCCGAAAGATCCAGAATTTAACACCTCCTCAAAACACCCGCCAGGAAGACCCATAATCATGAGTCAGACTCCCAAACCTGGCAGCCCAGGTCTCGCTGAGATGTGAATGTCTTGCCGCCCTGATGACCGAGACACATCATTCATTCACTCTCATTAGGCTGTGAGGCACCCTACGCTTGAAGTTAGTCCCCACAAGGCTGACATTCCCCACAAGGACGGGAGTCCCCTAGACTGCATCAACATGGGGAACTCGCTTTGCCACACCCAAGATGGCGCCACCGCGCCCTGCGTCCCTCCCGCGCTCGGTCCCTGTCGGCCTCCCACTACCTCCGCCACTCCACCAACCGGCCCCGCCCCGCGCCACGGCGCCCAGTCCGCAGTCGGAGGCTCGGCCGTAGCGCGCCCCTTTACGGATTACTTAAAATGGCGGTCATGGGGCGGGGCCGCCAGGCGCGGGGTACGCTGGGAACAGCGCGCGGGCTGCCGGGAACGGGGCGGAGCGCGGCCGCGCCGGCGCGTCGAGGGGGAGAGGCAGCCGCCGCGATGGTGAGCGGGCGCTGGGGGAGGGGTGCTTGGCCGGGGCTGGGGCCGGGGCCGGGGGCGGCAAGGGCGGTGGGCCGTGCGTGGGGGCCCGGGCTCCGCGCTCACCCCGGCCCGCCGCCCCCAGGACGTGTTCCTCATGATCCGGCGCCACAAGACCACCATCTTCACGGACGCCAAGGAGTCGAGCACTGTGTTCGAGCTAAAGCGCATCGTCGAGGGCATCCTCAAGCGGCCGCCGGACGAGCAGCGGCTGTACAAGGTGCGGTCCCGTCGGTTCCGGGCGGCCGGGAGCTGGGGGAGCGTGCTGCTCGGAACCGCCGCCCGAGCCTGGCCGTGGGCGCAAGGCGGCCCAGTCGTTGATGTAAACATCAGCGACCGGTTGCCGCGGGCCGGAACTCCGCCGCGTGGGGCCGTTGCTCGAACTCGGGGAGATGAAGCCCCGATAGCGGTCGCTACACCGGGGGTCTCCGTTCGGATGGCTTGAAAGTCGCGCGCCAGGCCCTATGCTGAGCGCCGAGGGCCAGCGTCACATCTGATCCCTACAGCGGTCCCACCCGCGACGTGCTGGCCCTTGATTTCCCTGCTCTGCGGTTAAGGAAACAGGCTCGGAGGTGGCCACTTAACGAGGCCAAGGTTGTTGGCAGAGTCAGGATTTGAACCCCGATGCTCAATCGTGTGCAGGACTCTCACACGCCCCCCGCCCCAGACACGCCTTAATACAAAGAAATGGAGAAATGGAGGGTGTTGAGATGAGTCAGGTCCCACCAGTTCTTCACCCAACAACTGTTTATTACTCCCCAACTTACTGCTGATGTTCTAAAAGCCCCCGCCCCTTTCCCCCTTACAAGCCAATTGCAATTATCCAGCAAGGATGTCGTGGGATTTGGGGTTTTCATTGGGGAGTCCTGTTTGTTGGCCCCTCATTTCAAGTTTCTGGCAGCATGAGGTCCCTCACCTAAGTTCCTTGATCTGATTCTGGGTGGAAACTGGGAAACTGATCTTTTGCTGCAGGCTGAGCCTTCACCCCCTTTGTCTCTAAAGGCCTTTTCTTCTTGTTACCTGCTGGGGCTTCTATAATAAGGACCTTTCCTACTGCCTGAGCTTGTTTCACTTGCTGTGCTCTGTGCTTTCTGTAGGTCCTTTGCTCATTGAAGCCTCTGGCTGCCCTATGAGTTGGGAATTCCAATAACTCCCGTTTTACAGATAAGGAAACTTCACATCAAACTTGCACATCTTGTGCAAGGTGGTAGAGCTGGGATTCAACCAGGTCTGCCTGTGGCCAGATGGGGGTCACTGACACTTGAAATTAGATTCACCTGGAGTTGCAGGGGGGTGTAGATTGAAATTAGATTAGATTCACCTGGAGTTGCAGGAGTGTAGCTTCCAGACCCCTACCCTACCCTGGGAGGTTCTGATTTGGAAAGTCTTGGGTGTAGTCCTGGAAACTGTTTGATATACTCTGGGGTGGTTCTGGGCCCTACTCGGGGCTGTTTCTTTTCCGTCTTCTGACTTTCAGTGTAGTTGCTGACCAGAGAAGTCTTTGGGACTTGCTCCTCCTGGGGCCTCTTCTGAGACCCTGCCTGCCTCTCTCCTCAGGACGACCAGCTTCTGGACGACGGAAAAACATTGGGCGAGTGTGGCTTCACCAGCCAGACAGCACGGCCTCAGGCCCCAGCCACTGTGGGACTAGCCTTCAGGGCAGGTGAGAGGGACAGCGACAGGGTGGAAATGGCCAAAGAAAGGGGTGGTCAGGGAGCCTGCAGTTCCTCCTGGACCATGTCTCCCAGTTCACCAAATGCCGGCAATATCCTATAATAGTGTGTTTGCTTCCCCCATTAAAAACAATGAGAAGCACATGAGATACTTGTAGAAATTGAAGCCCATTTCATGGAGGATTCAAAGATTCTTAGTCACAGTACTAGCTTACAGTTACAGGGAACTTACTGAGCACCTGGCCCTGCACTCTGCATTTTATTTCTGTTGTCCCATCTAATCCTCTTGATAGCCCTGAGGGGTAAGCACTGCCATCCCCATTTGGGAGACATGGACGCCGAGGCTTGCTGGCAGTCACGTGGGAGGCCACAGTTCAGCTGCCGGCTGCCAGGACCTTGTCTGAGCTGGGCACCATGCCAGCCAGTGTCTCCGTGGTACATCGCTTACTCCCCCAGCATCTCTGTACAGGCCAGAGTTGTATTGTGATCATTTTAAGGATGAGTAAACTAAGCCTGGGGAGGTTAGATCAGGTTCAGCCCTTTCTTGCCCCAGAGCCTGTACTCTCCTTAACCACATTCCACCGTGACCAAAGTTCAGAAACCTGAGGGGTGGGGGTGGTTTATGTTGCTCCTTTTGCCAAGAAAAAGATTTAAATTTTATCCTTTGTCTCTGGAAATTTAAACAGGAGTTATAGGGTGTTTTCACAGCTGTAGACAGACCCAGGGGCTGTGTGAATGGCTGGGTAAATCTGGATGAAGTTACAGGGAGTTATTTTTTTAGCTTCTTGTAAGAAAATGTAGCAAGGGCTCAGGAGGGAGCATATAGCCTTAGCTGCACTTCTCAGTTTCATAAGGATAAACTATGTGAGGCCTCAGCAGCTGTGTCTTCGGGCAGCTACTTCACGCCCCGCCCCTCCCAGACTGGAGTTTGTCTCCATAAAGGAGTATGACACTGGGACCAGCCTCACAGCAAAGCAATGTGAGCCCCCGTGCACCCCAGGCCCTGCAAGCGCTCAGGAAAAAGCAGTTTTACGGGCCTTTGTGTGGGTTCCCTCAACTCTCACAGTGACAGTGAGGCAGGTGAGGGGCTGGTGCAGACTTTGTACAGGGTGGGTACTATACAAGGCTGTTCTCTGAGGCAGGTAAGCGGGGGCTGAAAGCACATCTGTTCTTCCTAAGCCAGGGCCAGGCTGCATTCTTCCAGAAAAAGTATCTCTTCCTCTAATTTGAACAGAGGCACCCTATAGACTTGCAGCTACTCAACCATCTTGCAGGTGAAAAAAATCACAGCACAGTGAGGTGATTTTTTTCTCCCCATGACCCCCCCCTTATGGCATAGATTGTGGACCCTTGGTGGCATCACCTCAGGTGTGTCATTGCTGTTTTGATAGGGGCTGTGGTGTGGACTGCAGTCTGTCTGCTTCCACTTGCAAAAACGCACTTCTGGGTGGGTAGTTTCCTTGTGCAGAGACGGGTCTCTCCCCACCCCCCAAAGTGGTTTGCTTGGTTAGGGAGATATGATAGTGTCTGGTGTTAAATAGCATCTTCCAGACTTTATTTCCAAAGAATGGAGAGAGGTGATGAAGGCAAGAATTGTCACTCAGATTTGTGGCTTGCAAGATGAATTTGTTATTAAGCTGGGCCATGTGTCTTCACCTCAGCGCTGTTGACATTTGGGGCTGGATGATTCTGGGTGCGGTTGTCTTGTGCATTGCAGGATGTTTAACATCTCTGGCTTTTACGAAAGATGGCCTCTCCCCACTAGAGGCCAGTTGCAGCCCCTCAACCCCCAAAGTTAAAACTTGTCAGACCTGACCGACTTCCCCTGGGGAGCCTAATTGGTTGAGATCCCTGAGCCAGGTGGAGAGAAGTTTCCCATGTAGAAGAAAAAGTTGTGTTCATTTATCTGTGTAGTAACAGCAGGAATGACAGGGAAAATCTTCCTGGGGCTGCTGTTCTAGTAGGAAGGCAGCTGGTCAAGAGAAACAGGGCATTCGCGCTAGCGATTAAGTGTTCCCAGTGTAATGCACAGGGCATTGGGCATGTAGAGTGGGTGGTTGTACAGGGTGGTTGGGGAACGCTTCTCTGAAGAGGTGGTTTTTTTTTTTTTTTTGGTTAAACTTTTTTAAAAAAAATTTATTTTTTTGTCTGTGTTGGGTCTTTGTTTCTGTGCAACGGCTTTCTCTAGTTGCGGCGAGCGGGGGCCACTCTTCATCGCGGTGTGCGGGCCTCTCACTGTCGTGGCCTTGAAGAGGTGATATTTGATTGCCCCTGGATGCCTTTCTTAGGCAGCCAGCCATTCTAAGTGTCAAGCTAGGGAGTGGCAAATGCAGAGACCTTGAGGCAAGAAAGAGGTTGATGTGGGAACATGGGGACCACAAGGAGACATGTGGAGAGACATAATGACATGATGATTTTATTCAAAGTATGATGAGAAGCAAGAGAAGGGAACAAGGTGATGGGGGAGATTGTAGGTGGATGCAATCCCAGAGGCTGAGGGATGCAGAGGGTGAGGAAAAGGGCCCTAGCATGGCCAGGCTGGGGGAGGGGAGCAGGATCAGGTTGGTTCTGTAAGTGTGGGAGACTCACTTTGCAGTGGCCACCCCCTCTCCACCAGATGAGGCCTTTGAGGCCCTGCGCATCGAGCCCTTCTCCAGCCCACCCGAGCTGCCGGATGTGATGAAGCCACAGGACTCAGGAAGCAGCGCCAATGAACAAGCTGTGCAGTGAGAGGTCCCCCAACCGCCCTACCCCCCCAATAAAAGAGATTTGGGTGTCCACCTGGTTGCTGCTTCTTTCTACACACCTTCTCCTGACTCAGGCATCACCTCACTGGTGCTCCCCGCCTTGCCCCACCCTCAGCCTCTTCCAGGCCAGCCTGCTGCATCCCAAGCTCTCTGAGTCCAGCTACCAACCCCCAGCCCAGCCTACCCCTCAAAAGGCCATAATGGGGAGAGGAACCCAGGGCCCCCAGGCCAGCCTTCTGCTCAGCCTGGGGATAAAAGGTTTAGAGGCTTTTGTTTCTTCAGAGTGGCCAGCCCCCTCCTAGCATGAGCATGCTGGCTCCCAGCTGGAACGAGTGTGTTGGTTTGAGTGGGTTCTGTGGGGGATCCACAGCCTAGAGCCACCCCATAAGGCTCCTCCAAGGTATGCCCCTTGCAAGAGGGATGCAGCCACAGAATAAGGGCAGCTCCTCTCCTAACTAACTCTCCCCACCCATAATAAACAATCTATAGACCCAATTCCTGCATTTCTCGTTTTTATTTGACAGAAAAAGTTGCTCTTGCTGTACAGATTTTAAAAAACCAAAATGCCTTTAAGAAACGTGAAGAAAAGTTGGGGGGGAGGGGGCCACAACCTCACTGGGAGGCCAAGAGGAGCCAACTAATCAACTGCCCCTTTTTTCCAGGTATACCTCACACAGGTCTGCAAGTACCAAACCATCATCCCCCCCAAGAACTCGGGGCTAAAAGGGGGACAGTGCCTCCCAGATCCTTTCTGAGTCAAGACCTGGGAGTCCCAAACTGTATCCTCCCCTCCCGCAACTCCCATTCTCATTCCCACCCACCCCAAACCCCCCAAAACATGTGAACCAGGAAAAACTCACAGAGATTAACATTTCACAGAACAAAGAAAAAAAAAAAAGAGGGAGGGAAAGAAGGGAGCCCTCCCCCAGGATGCTGCCAGGGTTGGTGGGGAGGGCAGACAAAGACCTCCTCCCACGGCTCTGTTGGGGAGAAAGGGGGCACGTCCTGTGGCTCCAGAACTTGGGGTATGGTGGAATTCCCCAAAAAAGATTCACGGAGACCTGAAATGGAAGAGAATAATCAATGCAGAGGCCCCAGCCAGCCCTGGAGCTCTCAGAAGTGAGCCCAGCCCTAGAGTGTGACAAAGACACATACCTGGAGGAACGGTGCCGCAAGGAGCGAGGGCTGGGCGTTTCCCTCCTGCGCTTGTGGCCCGGGGAGTGGCTGTCCCCACGCTGGCTTCTCCGGGAACCCCGTTCACTGCTGCTACAATGAAGGACAGACATGAGACCACACACAGGACACCACCAACCCTTGGTACCTTGGAGCCTTAGAACTTATTTTGCAGAAATCAGTGGCAGCCAGACTGGGCTGCTGGCAGGACAGCACACACTGGCAACCCTACCTCTGCTGGTCCCGCGGTGAGGGCTGGGGTGAGGGGCGGCGGCGCTCCGCAGGCGAGTAGCTGAGGGACCGGGAGTCCCGGAGGGAGTCTATTGGCTTCCGGGGGCTGCGGGACCTGGGGATCAGAGTAGGTCCCCATAGTGCCACACTCTTTCAAACCCACAAGCCAGCACTCAGGACCACCCCCACCCCACCCCAGGTCCTGACCACCAAACCTCATACCACGCAGGGCCAACCTCAGACCCACCTTCATCCGCTCACTCACCCATCCGCCCGCACACCATCCACCGAGTACCCCAACAGGCGGGGCACGGGGTGCAGCGGGGGAGGCAAAGATAAAGACAGTCCCTGCCCTTGGAGGGGCTCAGTCTGATGGTGAAGGAAGGCCAAGGGAGGCTCGCTTGGCCCCACGTGTGGGAAGCAGCCCCGCAGGACCGATGTACATGGGGTCTGGGGACCCAGGGGAGGGAGACATGGGGCAGGGCAGGGAAGGGGCAGGGTAGTCTTCTTGAAGGTGCTGTTTGAGCGGAGTCTTGCAGAACGAGGAGTTCACCAGGCGGACAAGGGAATTCCAGGCAGGAGAAACAGCATGTCCAAAGGCATGGGGTTCTCCTTAGACTGCAAGGCGCTGCTGAGTGTGGCTGGAGCACAGGGCATGTGTGGGGGCGGGCAGGAGAGGAGAACACAGGGCAGGCAAGGCCAGTTGGTGGAGAGCCTCACACGCCATTCCCGCAGAGGTGGGGCTTTATCCTGCAGGCCACAGGGCGTCCCGGAAGGATTTGTGAAGGGAGTAACCAGATGTGCGTTTTAGAAAGATCCCTCTGGCTACGTGTGGAAGAGAATGGCGTGGAGGCAGGGAGACAGGGAAGAGGCTGTGGATAGAGTCGGGAGAAGATGACGGTGGCCAGACCCTGGCAGTAGCAAAGGGGAGACTTAAAAGCTAGAATCCCTGGAACCTGGGACCAGGCTGCATGTCAGGGGCAGGGAGAGGAAGGAACCTAGGACTCCCCAATTCTGGCTTGAGCACCCACTTGGATGACAGCCCTCTGCCAGAACAGGGCACAACAGAGTAAGCAGGGAGAGGAGAGCCCCACTCCTACTGTACAAGCAGACACCACAGTCCAGCAGGGATCTCACAACCCAGGGTCACACCCCACCCCTTCCTTCTCAAGCAAGGCAGCACTCACCTCCGCTCGCCAGGGGGTGGCTTCTTGGGGCTTGCAGGTTTGGGCAAGGCCTGAGGGCCAGGCTTAGCAGGGGAGGGGGAGGAAGAAGTAGAGGAAGAAGAGGAAGATGAAGAGGAGGAGGAGGAGGAGGAGGAGGAGGAAGAGGAGGAAGAAGAGGACGATGAAGAGGAGGAGCTGCTGCTGGAACTGGAGCTGCTAGAACGCCTCTTCCGCTTGGCTGGGGTCGGTTCCTGAGGACGGCCCTCTCGAACAGCCTCCTTTGGGGCTGGGGCGGGGCTGGGGACCCTGTGGGAGAAGAGGGCGTCACAAGGAGACAAGCTGCCCCAGCCCCAACCCTACCTTCCTTGGCCTGGAGGAATGGCAGTGGGGGAGGGGTGCCTGAGAAAGGCCCGGAGCTCTCCAAACCGAGAGCCAGTGAGTGCATTCTCTGGAGAGCAGTGGCCCCAACTGACCCAACCTCTGCTAACACAAGCAACAGGCTGGGGCCCGCAGCAAAAGGGATCAAGGTTAAACCTCAAGAATGTCCCTGATGGAGGAATAAGGTCCCTGGGCTCAGGTGTGGAAGCCAGGCTGGGTGGTCTCCGTCCTCTCCGTCCTCAGAGAGGAGAGCCACAGCATGGGGAAGCCTCTGTGTGTGTGGGTTGGCTGGGGGAGGGGCCGTCCTGCCTGGAGGCAGGGAGAGGGATAGGATGACCTCTGAAGATCCTTCCAGCCCAGGGAGTTCCTCTTGAGGTCTAACTGCCATCCCTCCTGCTGTAAAATTAAGTCCATTTCCTCTAGTTCTGTCCTCTGTAGAGACGGAAAACTTATCATTATCCTCTAGAGAATTAACCTTCGGAGACTTTTACCTGTCCCATTCCTCCCCCCGTTAACCCCCACCCCGGCATTCTCTTCTACCCCCAGCTTAAGGATCATGGTCCCCATACCTCCTCAGAGAGCCAAGAACCTCTGGATAGGGCTTCTCCCTCCCCACCCCCACCAACCATCCCCAAAACCTTCCCCGTAGAAGAGTTCTAAAAGTCCTCTCACCTCTTCAGTACTACCTCAGGTTGAGTGGGAAGGCTAGAGCCCTCCGAGTCGCTAGAACTGGAGCCAGAGGAGGAGGAGGACGACGACGATGACGATGATGATGAAGAGGAGGAGCTAGAGGAGGACGAGGAGGACGAACTCCGCCGCTCCTTTGCTGGCTGCAGGGCAGCCAAAGCAGAAGGCTGCTGGGCCTCCATAGAGGCAGTTGGTTCCCCACCCTCTGGGTGGAACACCCCAGGGACGGGGCCAGAGAGCATGCCATCGTGGTCACCAGCAGAGGATGTGGTCTTTGCCACCGTTCCAGAGGAAAGGGACTGAGACCCTGCTACAGGGGTGGTCTGGGCAAGCAAAGATCGGGACTGGTCAGAAAAAGCAGATGGCACAGGGGACCTAGGCCGATCCTGAGCTGGAGGAAGAACTGACTGTGAGGAAGCCTGTACCATTCTAGAGGCAGGAGAGGGAGCCCGCTCAGATGTCATTCTAGACTGGCTTGGGGCAGATGGTGGGGTTCTGGAGCCTGGGCCTCCTGGTGGGGTTCTGGACCTGGCTCGGTCAAGGAGTGGTGGTGAGGTTCTGCCACTAACGCGCTCATAGGCAGAGAGGGGAACCCTAGGGCTGGTGAGGTTTGCACCAGACAAGGCTGGAGCCATTCTAGCACTAGTGAGATTTGCAGGGGCCAAGGCTGGAGGGGTTCTTGAGCTGGCAATATTCACAGGAGCTGTGGCATGTGTAGATCTAGGACCCACCAGGTTTGCAGGGGCTGGAGCCTGCGGTGTTCTGGAGCTGGACGGATAGTTTGCAGCAGTTGGGGCTGTGCCAGAACCCGTGAGACTCAAAGCTGCCAAAGCAGCTGGGGTTCTGGCTCCTGCCAGGTTCACAGCTGGTGCTGTGGGTGTACGAGGGTCAGCAAGGTTCACGGCCGAAGGTGCCACTGCTGTTCTGGGGCTGGCCAAGTTCATGGCTGCTGCTGCAGCTGGCGTTCTTGAGTCAGCCAGGTTTACTGCTGTTGGGATGGCAGGTGCCCTGGCGCTGGCCAGGTTCATGGCTGCTGCAGAGGCTGCAGGAATCCTGCTGGCAAGGCTGGCAGCTGGGGCTGTTCTGAGACTCATGAGAGGCACTGGAGCTGGAACCTGGGACATTCTTGCAGCAAGGCCAGCTGCAGACATGGATGGAGGAGGCCGAGCGGTGCCAAGACTGATAGCCGTCAGGGCAAGTGCAATTCTAGACTGAGCATGGTTTTCTGGCACAGACGTTCTCGGGTGATCAGGAATTCGGGGACCTGGACCATCCATCATGGAACCACCAGCTTGCTGCAGGACAGACATGGGTGTTCTAGAGCTGCCAAGGGGCTCAAGCATTCCAGGTGATCTACAGCGGTCAAGAGGAGTTGGTGACATGCTAGGACGACTGAAG